CACACAGCAGACGAACTAAACAAGCTAGAGCGAAGGCAAGTAGATGAGAAGGACGCCGGGAGAAGGGAAAGGGAATTTCAAGGCCGCAGGGTGACCACAATTGCGGCAATATAATCAGTCTTACTTACTTAATTGTGATACCTCGTACACTCTATGAACCGTTTATATTTTTCTATTTTTTTTCCTTCTTTTTTTCTCTTTAAAATATATATCCGAACAGATTTCGACGATTTATTCCGTTGCATATACATTTTTAACAGCGCAATAACCGCAATTTCTCAAAGTATTTATATATATACAAACGGATTTATTTATTTAAGAATATATTCAATGCTTTTAAATAAATTGGGGGAGACGGACATTGTGGACTGATGTAGCTCTACTTTTTTTCGTGTGTAGTGGATATTAGCGCAGGCACTGTGGCATTGCGCGTTGAAGGTAGTACATGAAAACCTTACTTTTAATCTCTACATGCCTCAGATAGCCAAAGAATGCAAAAACAGATGTTATTCATGAGCTCGACACAAATACGTAAAAAACTCTCACAAATAATACAGCAACACTTGTGCACACATATGTATGTACAGACAAGTATTGACATATGCCAAATATATGTACATATATACGTATACATACATATATATAGATATGGATATTTTAAAGATATGTTGGTCCACTTATACATACGTGTACATACATATGTACATAAGATTAGAGATTGGTTGAAACAAACACTGCGAGCGGTAAACACTTTTTAATACGATCATAAATTACTGAGCATATCCGCATATCCGCATATATGCATTTGTATGAGTGTATGCTCAGCGATACCTTTAGATATTTGGCAATTTGTTTAATATTTTATTTATTTAGAATTGGATTAAAAACGGCTTGTGCTGCGCTGTTGCTGTTACACACACACGCACACATATATTTACACTAATAAATAGGTTTGCGAAATCGAAAACTGGCAGCAGCAGCAGCAAGTTCTAAGCGAAAATTTCATGCACCATAAACCGTTGAAAATATATTTTTGTACACAATATAAAAATGAGTGTTCTTATGTATATATGTATATTTGTTTAAATAACAAATTTAAATGAATTTGAAAATATTTTTATTATTTGAAAAATAATCACTGAAAATAAATTTTGAAACAGAAATACGAAAAAGAGCTCATAATAATATGTAATTTGCTCTTAAATTTTTTTTCAGTAACACTATTATTTATACATACATATGTACATACATACATACATACATACATACATATATACCCGGTAACGATAAATTTCACGTTAATCGAAAAATTGATATCGTTCCGGTTGAAACATTCGGAAATATTAACGTTAACGCTGTTATTAAAATAAACTTCTTCTCGTTTTTAACCGAAACGAAAGGCTGTCGTTGATGTTAAGTCGTTAACAGATACTGTTAAACGTTGAAATTGAAAGGTGCAAGCAGCTATTTTAAAGTTAAAGTTAACGATGAATTTTTTGTGGATTTACCGTTAACAATTTCATTTTGTTGAGTTAATTTTTCTTGTTAGCAAAACGCTCAGAAGAACAACTACATATCTAGATAACAGGAGAGAACTTGTTCGTACAAGAACCTTCTCCTCCGCACAGCCGTTTCTTTTTACGCACAAATTGAGAGCAAAAGTTCACCCGCCACATGCCCTCGTAAAATTAATGATTTTTTATTCAAAAAGCATTGCACAAAACAGTTGTGCATCACTTTGATGCGGTTGCAAAGCTCCAACTTTAAAACTAACAATACCGTGGTGCCACAATGTCTGGCGCGATCAAAGCAAAACACAAACAGTTTCTCCGCTTTTCAATGAGAGAAAGTAGAAGTTCCCTTAAGGAAGGAACATCCAATCATGATTTTATTTGTTTACAGATACAATTTTATACTTTCAAAATATTTACGATCATGAGCCACCACCAACGAACGCGGGCATTAATATCAAAGCGTTGCGCTCCACAGGCGGCACAAGTGCGCGTACCAGGGTAATCTGCTGCCCATCGCGTAAGGAGAGCCCATGCGCTAAAACCACCTGCATACACATATTTATTTCCAAAAACTCTCGAAACTTATGCATTTAAATGTGCGCTTCATGAGAATAATCACCGTTGCACTCGATTGCGTAAAACGCCATGTGCAATCGCCACAATGATTAATTTGAAATGAAAATTTTAAATAAACAAATGATAAAGTTATCCCTGTAGATTTGCATTTGAATACTTGGATGGCTGTAATGGCTTGTGTTTGAAAATTCGGTTTTCTCAAGAAGCATTTTTAACATAAATAAAGAATAAACACGTTCTTGGCTCTAAAATGGTCTATTGTAAATAAATGCTCAACCACACGTATATAATCCATTAAATTCATGGGAATTCCGTTTACTGGAATCGCCACTCATCCGAAAGTTGGAAGAACTAATTACGAGGCACTCGAGACTAGACCTGTGTGCCACATCTCTCTTATGAGTCGTCATAAATCAGACCGAAAGCTCGGAGGAGGGAAGTAAGACATATCTAGCCTGTTATGTTTAATGGGGACCGCTTCATATTCAATAAAGATGTGACAGAAAAGACAATGTAGAGAAACCTTGCTGGTGGAGTTTTGACGAGAGAGAACATTTTGGCACACCTATCTCTATCATCAAGCTGGAACCTGGTAAGATTGAAGAAAGAATGCTACTCAAAGCTGTTCAGTACTCTGGACGAGTTCAACAATGTCAGCCTTAATGCTTTTTCGGACTGAGTAGGCAATTGGAGAGTAAAGTTTCTCTCAACGAGCAAAGATTAAACTTCACAAGTTGCCGATCTTCCCATCTTACTTGATGATGCAGAATCATGGATGTTGTCAACAACTGAAGAGTCAACCTTGGCAGTTTTAGATAGAAAAGTTTTGCCGGTGGTAGTAGAGGAAGACCTCCACTCCATTGGAATGACCAAGTAGAGAAGGGGCTGGCTGTACTTGCGAAAAGAAGAATTGAATGGCGCAAAGTTGTTAATTCGGCTATAATCGCGTAAGCGGTGTCTAGCTGGTAAAGAAGTATAGCTCGAGAATAGCTGGACCTATTTGTCTATATTTTATCTTGAAATATTTGTGTAGGTTGAGGGAAAGTTTAAGTGGTTACCAACATCCGGGTAGTGGGCCGGAAACTGAGCCCTATTCGAACATAGTACATAGTTAGCAGAAAGACTACTCTGCTCTCTGGGGAATGGAGCATCGATATATTAAAAATTCGGTAGTAGGAAGTCTACTCCTCTATCGGGAAAGAGAATCAGGGACCGACCTATTCGAAAGAATCGTATTTATAGTTCTTTTTATTTGAATTCCTTTTTTTAACAAAATGGACCGATCGATATGAAAAAAATGTATACATCTATAGCTCGATGTATTTAAATGGACCTACAGCTTACACTAAGCCTTCTCCGGCTGCTGAGTTTTCGTAAAGAGCTTTAATTTTCATGCCAGAAAAAGAATTGCTAAAATTAATTTTCTATAATTTTGGAGATGGAATATTTTACCGTTCTTTACAATACCATTTAAAATAAAAAATGAACAAAAAACAACAAGAACAACGACAACTTGTGGCTGGGTCTCCTAAGACCTTTTCAAAGATTTTTCGAAATTCAGTCTTTCAAATTAGAGAACTGAGTACCGTACTAAAGCCGATGTTCAAAATTCGTATTTTTTAGCCTTCGACAAATCCTTCACCACCACATGCAAACATTTCGCAGATTGCTCACACGCACACATAACTGCAGTCACCGTTCCTGCCGAGCGCAGCGGCTGAATGTGCGATTTTTACGATCTTTACCGCAGCAGGCGCTGTAATATATTTTCCCTTTCATGTTGTTGCTGTTTCTGCTTTGTTTTCGTTGCTTTTACACGTACCTAACATTCCATAAGTACATTTTCTTTTTATTGATGAAGTTGAGGTATGTACGTGTGTGTGTGTGTGCGTTTAGTTTAGATAATTTTGAGTACTTTGCGGCCTATTGACGTAATTTTACGACAACATTAACTCGATCATCAAAATTCGAGCTGTGCAACCATATGCAAATGCAGTGTACTCACATATGTATACGAGTACATATGCATGTGTGTATGTACATATATAAATATACACATGCGTTTTTAGGGCATTTGGTGTTAATGGGCGTGTTGTTGATGTGATGTGGCCGAGAAGTAGTCGTGCGCTCTTCACCAGTCCCGCTCTCATCTGAAAGTATGCGCATCAATATCGACATTTATACCTACTTATGTATGTATGTATGTATATATAGTTATAATTAGTTGACGAGTGCATTCAATTGGCTTTTGTAGATCGCCTATTTATTTGGCAAACAAATCGGTCTGATTTGGCGGCTAACAGTGGCAACAACAAAAATACAAGCTCCACAAATGTACAAAGAATTTATAAACTGTTTCAAAAAATATATTCAAGCATACCAACAAACAACTAGAAAGCCGCCAGCGACAGCAGCACATACGTGTAAGGAAACTCTGATCACTCATACGTTACTGCTTCCACATACGCGTGTATTTGTATGTGTGTACGTACGATCTGCTCTCACGCAATGGCAAACAAATATGCATACTTGCCTACCACATATGTATGTATGTTTAAGTTCTAAGTAAATATATTTTCTTATATGCAAATGCGCTCCCGCACTCTCGAATTCGAACCCTCAATGCCGTTATGAGGATCATCAGCCAGCCACCCAGCGAGCTACCCAGCCTTTGTTTTTCCAAGAGATACAACAGTGTGTGCAACTACAAGCAAACTTCTACACATACATATGCATATATACATAGGCGAGTGCTGAGATAAATGAGGGAAGTACAATCAGTTGCTTGTATGTCGGGTGGTACACACATGTGTACATATGCGCAGCATTTTCCAACTCCTCCATGATCGGCACGAGTGCTACGGCGATACTTGTTCTACACTCAAGACAGTCTATAGTAGATCATCGCCCATTAATGGTGTAGTTTTCCTGCGCCTCCTTCAAGTGTTTCGGATTTTTTCTCAAAACCCACTGCCGCACCAGCAGCTCACGCGTTGCGCGTAGAAAACGTGTCGATTCGTTTCCAAAGTCGTGTTTCGTGTTTTCCATTTCAGCTCAAGGCTCATGCAAGCATTTAAATTGCCAAAGATCAAACATTGCTGTTTACCGTAGTTAAGTGTTAAGTTTTCAGCAAAGTTAATAAGTTAAGTGTAGATAAGTGAAAGCTTTCCGAGGTTTTTATTATGCTCCCCACGCCGTACTACCCAGCCGCCTCTGCGCTGGATGACTTGCAGTTGGCGCGCACCGAGTTTGTTTGTGCGAATAATCCGTCGGTTGCCGCCGCGTTGTTGTCCGAGAACAGTGTTGCCGCCGCCGCTTATTATTATCAGCACTTGAATCCTTTCCTGCGAATTAATCCGAATTTTTGGTCAATGCCACTATCGTTTCTACAAAGCTCACATCGACCGGAGAAGCCACCATTTTCTTATATCGCTCTGATCGCAATGGCCATAAGCAGCGCGCCGAATCAGCGGCTAACTTTGAGTGGCATCTATAAGTTCATCATGGAAAAGTAATTTTTAATGAAAATAACTTTGATTGCATAGTGAAAAGAACGTAAGCTTAGCAAAGAGCTTTTTAGCTTTCACTGATAGTATACACGCAAGGGGAGAGAGACTTAAATTGCCTGAGGGTGACCAGATCGGGTTGGGGGAGGACAAAATCTGCTCTACATAAAATTGATAGCTAAAGATCTCCACCTCATCTTGGACTCAGAAACACTAAAAAAGATCTAGCATTTATAACGTTGTTAGTTTTTTCGGCAGATTATTCTCCTTCTGAGCTAGAGCACTCGATTCTGCAGATCATTAAATATTTGTTTTGTTACGGAGAGGTAGTTAAGTTTAAGTTATTCCCTCGCCCCTCGCTCTACATTACATACAGAGCAATGCAACGGAAAGTTTAACAAATTCGACGTCGCACCAAAAGCAAAACAAATTCAAAACTGGCCAGGCCAACGTCCAAAAGTGGAGAAAATCATGAAAAAAAAAATATTTCTTCTAATTGCCGTCGCTTCTCGGCTAAGAACGTCAGGCCCTCAATAACAGTTCGGGAAAGGCACACCACAAATTGCTGGAGGAGCTCAAGAACTAACAGGAGTAGTTGGATTGATTAAGACACATCCGTCTGCCTGTGTGTTTGAATATAAGCCGGCCTCTATTGGATTTATGCTGCACGAAAGGCACCATTTCTTTTTGGTTTTTTAATATTTTTCCCTTTTTTGGGATGTTGGAAAAGTAGTGTGCCTTACAACAGTCGATCCTGTTGATGTGAAAATCAGATTTGTGGTTGAAAAGTTTGCAGTTTTTAACGGTATTTGGTGGATTATTTATACCCCGTTAGAAATTAGTTGTACTCTCTCCACAATATTTTGTAGATGATGGGACCTCTCTACATGTGGGGATTGTAAGTTTTTAAAACCAGTACTCCATTTAAGACAGACAATGAACATTGCTGTTTTACCGTAATACCAAATCATGCGGGCTCACAGTAGTGCCGTCGGCACTCTTAATCAACTTTGGCAATTAAAGTTTGTTTTTCTTATGAATTTGCAGCTCAACAAGGAGAGGTTGTAGACGAGTGAGCAAAGCACTTGGAGACAGCAGAATGGTGGCCTTTTTCTTCCTCTGCTGCCACCAGAGGGGATTGCATTCAAAGTCATGTTTCCATCCGTCCATATTCTGCCGCCGCTATCTCTTAACTTGAGGACTTTTAGTCCAAAACTAGTTGCTCGCTAAATATCCAGGCTGAATTTACTAAGGGTATTTATGATATTTCTTAGATAAACGAAAATATCGACGATTTCAAAGTTACGACAGCCAACGGTATCGTGTGAGCCCAGACGCGAGTGACTTACTTTATTGGCGTAGACACCGCCTGCGCGATTAAAGCCGATTTAGAACACTGAGCCATTCACGTCTTCTTTTTGCTGTTTGGCGCCAATTGGAAATACCAAGTACAGCTAGGTCCTTCTCTACATGGTCTTTTAAACGGAGTGGAAGTCTTACTCTTCCTCTGCTTCCACCGTCGGGTACTGCATCGAAAAGTTTCAAAGCTGAAGTATTCGCATCTATCCGGACCACATGACCTAGCCAGCGTAGCCGCTGCTTTTTGATTCGCTGAACTATATCAATGTCGCCGTACAGCACATCGTTCCATTGTCTACGGTATTCGCCGTTGCCAATGCCCAAAGGACGTTAAATCTTACCCAAAACTTGTAGAGTTTGGTTTTCGTTCGTCGGGAGAGGACTTTACTTTTCAATTGCCTACTCAGTCCAAAGTAAAACCTGTTGCCAAGAATGACTCTTCGGTGGATTTCGAGGCTGACATTATTGTTGGTGTTGATGCTGGTTCCTAGGTAGACGAAATTTTCTACGACTTCAAAGTTATGACTGTCAACAGTGGCGTGGGAGCCGCGGCGCGGTTATTGAGGCCAATAATATCAATATCATCGGCGTACGCCAGTTCTTGTACACTCTTATAGAAGATTGCACCTTCTCTATTCTGCTCTGCAGCCCTTATTATTCTCTCCAGCAATAAAATGAAGAAATCTAACGACAAGGAGTCACCCTGTCTGAAACCTCATGTGGCTTACACATCCGTATAAGTTGTGCGGGGATACCAAATTCAGAAATAGCGGCGTAAAGGCAGCTCCTTCTTCCAGCAGAGCACACTCGTCGTGCTTGCTTTCGTCCGACCATATTCTGCAAGGTAGCTGATGCATGCACCTTGTTCTTTCCCGCCATGTTTGAATAACTTCACCGCCAGATATTCATACCGGCATTCGGCAGCAATTGTAGACGCTTGCAAAATATTTTAGATCTCCTTTGCACCCGACACCTCATCTTATTTGCTCTAGTCTTAAATTGAAGCCAAATTATAGAGCTTGCTCGGCTGTTTCCTCATTTCGTTTTAAACTGCTCGGAAAAGTCCTTCAATGTTAGGCCCCCGGAGCGTACGTACATCTATGTATAACATCGAAGGCTTGTCATGGAACTGGAAACAGCCATATTTCGGGTCTCTTTGTCCGTTTGACGTTAAGTTCGAGAGTAACGATTTTGAAATCGCGACAGAGGCGGAGTACTTGGTTGCGTTCAAGGCACCAATAGAGGGCATATGTGATCAGATCGTTCTTCTGTTACGTAATAATGATTCCTTCATAATCGTCATAACTATGGGAATGATGTAGGGGTAATTGCAAAGGCTTAGCGACGGAGTCTCTATCCCACCCCACCCCAAATTCAACATCAAATTTGTTCTCCTTCATTGTCCTCTCCAACACTATTCTGGGATGGCTGTGATGTCAAACCTAATTTTCACAAGAACATCAAACTTCCCATTTAAAGAAACGGACATCGCACAAATTGTGATCCTAAAAACTCCTGCACCTTTTTGACTGTTTATGATAAAAATATTCTATACGTAAAGTCGTTCTTAATTTTTTCGTTTGATCTTTCTCGCCAGATTTCCCTACTACCGCGAGAACAAACAAGGTTGGCAGAACTCAATAAGACATAATCTCTCATTGAATGACTGCTTCGTAAAGGTGCCACGAGACAAGAACACAATTGACGACAACGACAGCTCAGGCAAAGGGAGCTACTGGATGTTGGATGCCTCAGCCAATGATATGTTCGAACAAGGCAACTACCGCCGCCGGCGCACGCGACGACAAAGACATTGCATGCGAAGTTCAAGTGGTTCTGAAGATAGCTACCAAGTAAGTTTGAAATTAAACGCAACTGAGAGTTCGACCTTAAGCTCGCCACATTCACAGATGGAGAAAAGCCAGAGCTACGACAGCACAACTGATGAATCCCACGCAACTCATAGCGACCTTAATATATTCTGTAATAAGCAATCCGCCCCATTGGCTTTAAACTATTCCGATCGAATCACAGAGTTGCACAGACAGTATTTAGCATCGATTGCACCATTCAACATACTGTTTCGTAACGAACCTCCAACATCAAATATCGCCACCAGCCCAACGGCGCCCGCAACCCAACTTACATCGAGCACACAAACACCACATGAAGTGGGCTTACCACACATGCCGCAAATGACACCTTTGCTAAGCACACATCAGGACTCAAGCAGAAACTCATTTCGTGATTTGGATAGCTTCGATCTTTCAGGTGGCACCTACTCTAATAGCAACAGCTCAGTGGATAGTACCCGACCGGCAAACTCATTTTCACCGAGCGCCTTTACCCCTATTACTCCAGCGCGTAACACGCAGCCAATACCGCCATTGACACAACCACAAGTGCAATCACAGCCGAAGGCGCTCGCGTCCGCTTTCACCATCGAGAATATTATTAAGAAAGACTGAGGTGGGATGATGGGTGTCGGACGCCGGACGCCGGATGCCGGAAAGAAGATTACTGTATGCTTACCAAAGAAGATTATTTGTATTTAGAAAGTATTTAGTATATTTAAGCCGTTAATTATCCCGAGATTATGTGATACAATATCAATAAATTATATAGGAATAAAACACGTTTTAACCAATCCTATAACCACGCTTTTGTACTTAGTGCTGTGTCCTGCTGACTTCAAGGAGGGAAAGTTAGGGAAGGAATTGATTAAGTCTCTGTGAATAGACGCGTCCATTGGATGAGTTAATTACTATTTCCTTGAGTATATATATGTAGTGGTGTACATCGCTCCTGATGTGTCTAGCGGCTGGCTCTGCATAGAGCAGGCTTACTTGCAGATACTGCCTACACAGGATTAGTTAAATGGCTCTAAAGCAGAAGCTGTCTGGTAATGAAGTGCACGTCCGTCTTAACGTGGTCTAGGTCAAGAAATGTTGTTTATTACTCGGTCTTCTGCGTCTTACTATTCCTCGGCGACCAGAAAGCTCCTATGTCTTGAAGGTTACCGACTTTCAGTTTTACTCTGGCGTATGAGATCAAATGGAGTCTCCGATGTGGCGGAAGCAACCTTGAGACTTAAAACCCAAACAGTAAAGAGCAGAGAAAGCCTCTTTGCGGAATCTCCCCGTAAATTATGTCACCCACAAGTAATTTATGATCTCCCTCTTCAATCCCGTCGGTAATGAGAAACCGAAAATAGCATCCCTTAATAAACTGTGTAGAAAGCATTTAACAATTCCAGTGCTGTAAGTAGAATTCTCGCACAGGCTCCATAATGGATGAGGTCAAGTGGCTTTTGGGTGTTTTGGATGTTTAATGCGGTGGTGCAGCGCCTAAGCCGAAATCAAGCTGCGAGTAAAAGATCGGAGCCTTCGCTCCTGGGGAAAGGACATACAAGTATTCCCTTTGTCGGCGGTTCTCCGGTTTAACTAACTGAACTGCTGCCGATTGTGGACCTTAATGAGGGATTCTGCTTCCGTTGGACCCAGACATTTTATCAACAACATGCTGATTTCATCGGAGCCAATGGATTTAAAGAATTTTGCTTTCCTGATTATAATCTGAACCTCTTCCCTAAGGAAATTTAGTGTCACCCTAATGTTTGACAGTTTGCGCAGACGGTGTGCCAACCGAAGAGCTAAAATAGTCCGCACTCCTTTTCGGGTCGGACGATGCGCTTCACCGAATTACATTTCCTTCGTCGTTCATGCTGTTGTTGTTGTTGTTGTTGTAGCGGTTCGCTAACCCCGCTTAGGCACAGGTTTGATCAGTCTAAGTCACCGAGGTCATCTAGTGGTAGGTCCAGGAAACGAGCTGTTTCGACGGGGCTGGAGAGGGGGATTAAATGAGTGGGTTTGGGGTCATGCCCCCTGTGAAGAGGTGGTTAGTGTCGTGCGGAGACTCTCCACATGCAGGGCATACGTTGGGTATGCTTGGGTCTAGTCTCGATAGGTAGGAGTTTAACCTGCTACAATATCCAGACCTGAGTTGTGTCAGGATCACGCGGGTCTCTCGAGGCAACTCGAGCTCGTTGTCTGCTATGGGTGGTGGTACTTCTCCGAGTACGCCATTCACTGGAAGGAATTCCTTGAAGGTGTTGACTGACACCTGCGGTAGCATCCCAATAGGAACTGCTTGCACAGCAAAGCATTATGCTCCTTAACTCGTAGCATAGATGCTTCCCTGTGCAAGTGGTGCTCCGGCGACATCAGGAGGTTTCCTGTCGCGGTCCTGAGAGCGGTGTTCTGGCAAGCCTGTAGCTTCTTCATCTACGTCATCCGGCGTCCAGATCGGTGCAGCATAGTTTACGACCGGCCGGCCAATTGCTTTGTAAGTAGCCAGCAAAGTTTCTTTGTCTTTACCCCAGGTGCTGCCGGCTAGCGCTTTGAGTATTTTGTTGCGGCTCTGGAGTTTTGCGGCAATTGCGGTCGTATGCGGAGTGAAGGAGTGCAGGCTGTCTAGGGTTACTCCCAATATTTTTGGGTTATTTACCGTCGGAATTTTTGTGTCATCGACCTTCACATCTAGTTCAAGCCTATATTCCTTCGTCCAGCTGGTTAAGAGGGTAGCCGAGGATTTTGTCGGTTGAATTAGTCGTCTTGCAGTGAAGAAGTGGGAGAGATCAGCGAGGTAGCCATTTACTTTCGAGCTGAGGTCATCAATATCCTGGCCAGACGCCATTATCGTACAGTCATCGGTATACCAGGTTAGGGAAACTTCTTCTGGTGGTGGAGGGAGTTTCGAGATGTAAAAGTTAAGCAGTAGCGGGGAGAGGACACCACCCTGCGGAACCCCCTGTTTATTTTTTCTAGGTTTAGATGTTACGCCTCGGAAAATTACCGATTATTGTCGACCACTCAGGTAGCCCATGACCCACCTCTGCAACCCCGGCGGTAGTGAGGATTCCTCAATGTCCGTTAGTAGCACTGAGTGATTGACTGTGTCAAAAGCTTTTGACAAGTCCAGTGCTACTAGGACAGTTCGCGCGCAGGGTCGGTTTTGATTAAGGCCTTGGACTATCTGGGGGTTTATGGCGTTAAGTGCTGTTGTGGTGCTGTGCACTTTTCGGAAGCCATGCTGATGCGCTGGTCGACGCAGATGGTGAGTGAAGGTCGGGAGCAGTAAGGAATCAAGTGTATTCGCTACTGCGGAGAGGAGAGTTATCGGCCGATAGGACTCTCCTTTGTTGGCTGGTTTCCCTGGTTTAAGTAGCGGGACCACCCTACCCATTTTCCACACATCGGGTATCTTCAGGGTGGTGAGAGACAAATTGAGGACCCTCGTGAAATTCTGCCCCGCTGGTCCAAGGTGTTTTAGCATCAGCATGCTTATTCCATCGGGGCCGATGGATTTGGAGGCTTTCGCCTTCCCGATGACCCCCTGAACCTCCTCCCAAAAAGTACTTTGGGGAATAATTTTGCAGTTACAACAACAACAACAACAACAACAACAACAGCTACATCAAAAGCATTTGTAGCCAACACGCTGCAAGGTGTTGTTTCGTTGAAACAGCGTAGAAAACTACGACGAGCGGTGCCTCCTGATAAGGTCCAGACCGACGATTTACAATGCTTTGACCAGCGCCAGGTGTAGCAATCCACTCGTTCAATTAAAGTGACAACATGAATGTATAAATATACTCGTAAATAACCATAAAACTTCCCTAAATTGCCTTACATCAAATTTTTGTTTAAATCATAATTGGAAGGAAAAATTACATATGTATTACCAAACTATTTTTTCATATTTATTCACCATCTGTAAATTTACAAATAAGAATCTTTGTTTATTCTGTTTTCTTAACATTTTTTACGGGAGCAGCCTTTTGCGATGCAAGCACGGCAGACGCACGACGGAGAGCAGCCTGAAAAGAAAATAAGAAAATATTAGTAGCTCATATGGTATTTTTATTCAATGTTAAAATATTTTTGAACTATCAGAATAATTTTTCAACATGAAGATTCTGCGATCTTGGTGAGTAGCAAAAAATAAAGGTCTCATCATTATCAATACCATCTCAAAATATCTAATATATAAATAACACACCTGTGTCAAGTCCTTGCGGTATTTAGCACCGGTCAAAAGGTTCTTCAACTTTTTCAACGACCTTCTGGGGCCAGCCTTGAATGTAACACGAACTGTGTTCTTAGCAGGGCGTTGAGCGTTCTTGCCCTTCTTTAGAACGACCGAGAATCCCTTTTTGTCGGCAGCTGGCACAACACCAACGGTTTTCTTGTGGACTAAACCACTGTAGCGGAAAGAGCTCACATTGGTCAAGTTGTTGGCCTCCTAAGAAATAGACAAATCGAGAGGTATTAGTAAAAACTTTATACAGATATACAATTAAAATCAAAAACTATATCAGTAAGTTATGTTGCTATCATATCGTATTCAAATATCATTGTGAATTGAAACATCATGAAATTATCGTAATATTCAATATTTGGATTGGAAACTTACTGTACTGAAGGGTTTCTTCACATCGCGCTTCTTCAAAAGGAACGAATTGTTATTACGGATAATCAACCAGTTAAGATGCGGTGATGTGGTGGCCATATCGAGTCTGTATAGAATAAAATTTATTAATATCTTTGCGTCATGTATTTACAAATAACTAATGAAATATATTGGTTTCTATCAGTCTTGGGTGATGAATTATAGTCTTCAAGAACTCTTCTGTTAATTCGATCATCATGGAAACCAAGCGAACACCAGTTGGACACGGAAATGCAACCCAAAGTGTGTGCATAGCACGTGCAAAATTTCATTCAAAAAAAATCAATTACCAATGCTTTCATTGCTTCTGTCCATGTTGCACCATTCAGGAAAATCCATTCAAAAATCTTTGCCTACTTTTGTTTGCACCAACTCCACGTGCCAACTGATGTATTCGTCAAAATTTTATAAATGCTCACCTTTTTCTGTTGACAACGATGACGAAAAGAACCAGGAAACGCCATATTTGAAATGAAGTTAGTTGCTATTCGCCCACTGTCATTTAACCAATTAGGAAGTGTCAAAAAAGCACAGGGTGGCACATGAAACTATTTATTTTACAAAATGAAACAAAATAAATTATTCGTTGAATACATATACGTTCTTTGGCGATATCCTCAAATTTGGTTTAAACTGACAAAGGCCAGAGATAATTAAATAACGAATGTAAATCTAAGATATTTTATATGTACATACTACGGTTCACTAACCAATGACTCCCCTTAATCCAGTTTTATATTTGACATACTCTGAAGTTATTCTTTTCTCCTCATCATTAGGCCGTTTTATATACATAAATAATGAGCATCCGGCTTATAAAATAAATAAGCCTTGAATTAATTCGGCTTACAGATCCAATAGATACATTAAAACCATCTCCGATATTTCGAATTGAGCAGGCTTCATGCCCCGCAAACCACAGAAATAATGGCAAATGCATTTTGGCACTATACACTTTAATTTCATCCAGCTTTTGGAACTCTTCTGAACCTTTAAATTTATTACTAAGCATTTCAAATACGTCTCTCCTCACTCGGAAATGCATCATGAACTCTTCATCTGTGTATTTGATCTGATGAGGATAAAAGGGAATTATCCGAGTCTGAAGAATCTGGATATTCTTTCATGATTTCGGTGATATTATATTTATCCATTTTATATTTTGCAAGAATTGTATTTATACATAAATCCATATATCTAAAGTATTTGATATTTGTCAAATAAAAATTCAAACATTCAACTATTTTGAGTTTCTCCGAGTTTCTCTAGCTTACTCTTCAGTTTTTTGAAAGCTGCGCTATTCTACTTTAACTTACTCTGCCCTACTCTGCTTTCAGTCTCAATAAACAGACCTAATAAATGCGAGCGAAATTTTCAAGCAGATAAAGACCGTCAGTTAGATTCGATTTGTCGATAAACGTATCGATATTTTGCCCACTTTTACCAGTTTAGCGCGAAATTGGTAATTTAACTTATATATACAATATATTAGCTTTTAAACCATGTCCACTTGTATAATTAGTGAAATTTATGGTGATTTATTTAGCGCAGATGAGACCTACTCCATGGCGCATTGTGTTGCTGCCGATATGAGATTGGGTCGTGGTATCGCTATAAAATTCAGGTGAGTAAACAAAGTAAATTCATAATTAAAATTTAATGAGAAATTTGTTTAACCAAGGTAGGAACAAATTTGGACAAATTCCTAAGTTGAAGCAACAAAATGTTAAGCCAGGTGGTGTAGCAGTTTTGCAGGACCGAACACGATTCATTTATTATTTGGTTACCAAAACAAGCAGTTGGAATAAGCCAACTTATCAAACTCTAGAAACGTCCTTACGGTGTATGAAAACGCATATGGTAAGTTATTGAAAATATCTATTTCTTCTATACGAAATATGCATACTTTACTTATCCCAACTCCTTTGAAAAGTAAAATTTTGGATAATTAAGGAAATATAAAATTTTATTAATTTTTCTTTGTCTTAATAGCTCCAAAATAATGTCGATAAGTTGGCGATACCGCGAATTGGCTGTGGCCTAGATGGCTTAGAATGGCATAGAGTTCGGAATATTTTGGAAGAAGTATTTAAGGATATCGTCGTTGAAATCATTATTTATAATTATGGGAAATAAATGTTTTTGAATTTTGTTAATATTATTGTTTAATGTTATAAAACTGATGAAATCAGGAAAGCGTTATTAAATAAAAACTGCAGTAAATTGTTAAACGTACATTCCTATACATATTCATTCTAAAGAGCTTCCTTGATAATGAGTGAAAAAGTCGCATTTTTTTGTAAATTTAGTAATGTCATATCAATAATATCTAAACATACACATATACATATACACATAATTACCTTTTCAAGTGCTCATTTCACTAACAGAAAATGGAACGCATTGATTTTGTTATAAACAATTATGAAGTCTTTAATCCATTGTTGTAAATATACAATTTTCTGTACATAAATACAGACATTTTTCAGTAATGCTCAGCATTGAATGACAAAATTAACATTTTAAAATGGTTGAAATCAAATCGTCGTGGTAACGATACTACTTGGGCACAAAATTGTATACAACAATTTCCAGGTCCTCGCTATCAAACACCCGATGCAATTCGCTGCTCACTTTATCCCATTCCAGTCCGTCGATGCCACATCCAATGCGCGGTATAGCCAACTTGTGTACATTGCTTTTGCGCTGTTGTAATTAAAGAAAAAATGGAAAATCACCTAAAAATGCATAAGAACTTGTTTCGCCTTACCATATGCTCTCGCATCGCCACCAAGGAGGAACGCAAGCTATCGTAGGTAGGACTACCCCAACTTTGTGGTTTCGTCACCAAATAATAGATATACCGATCTTTATCTTGTAATACGGCAACACCGCCAGATTGCACGCCTTGTCCTCGCAAATTGTCCACTTGTCCGTAGATTTGTTTAAACTTCACTGCTATGCCAGCGCCCATCGCGAAATCAGCGCCCACACAATGCGCCAGAGAATGTGTTTCTGGTGCGCTGAAGAGATCCCCTTCGATCTCCGTTAATTTGAATTTTGAATCGGCGGACATATTTCTGCGTAAATTTCGTAGGGTGGCTGTGTGTAATGCCAATTGGGTTGTCGTAAATTGTGCTGGAATTTGAAAAATCAGGAAAAAATCAAACCTCATAACCAATTGAAAAAGGTTTTATTTAAGAAAATTTTCTGACAATCGCATAAATTAATCACGCTCTCCTTTTTGAAGTTATTCAGACACCAAAAAGGCTGCTAAGGGCATTTATAAGGTTTAATTTTAAGATACATATAAACATGGGTCTGAAATATTCTTCCGTTAAATCATTTAAATCACAAAAAAGTAATATTTTATTATGCAATTAATGTTGTTAAGAATATTAGTCTTTTATTTCAGAAGTTCGTTCATTTACATATACATACATACATATATAAAACTGTATAATTATTGTCTATGGATATATGTATATATGAATATATGGTATAAACCCCCCTCCAACATGAAACTGCACAGTTCTATAGTTTTTCATTCGCCAACTTGATGTGCAATAAAACTTACGAGTTAATATTGAAAATATTTTGTGTGTAAACATTAATAAATTAAGTGTATGTGTGCGTGTGTGTAAAAAATAACATTTAGATAAATAATTAAAACTTTTCGCAGCTCCCATAGCTGCTGCTCATTTCCGGAAACTCTCAAAAGTCAAAAATTCAGGGAAAGTCTCTGGAAAGTGACATTCGATTAACCATGGACTCCAGAGTGCGTGAACGTGAGCGCGAATCACGTGAACGCCTGCGTACAACCTCTGGTGGATCATAGACGTAAGCGATAATTTCCACGGCGTTATTGCAAAATACAAATTCCACGATGTTTCGAACGCGCAACCAACTCAGGCGATCGATATCACCGCCGAACCGCGGTATAGCCAGCTTGGTTACATTGTTTTGTTCCTGAGCAAAATTATATAAAAAATATTTAAAACTATTTTTATATATAAACTGCTTGTTAGGGAAAAAATTTCGCTTTACCACATGCTCACGCATCGACATCAATGCATAGTAAAGCGCTGGATAAGTGCACTTCTCATGACTACGTTCCTTGGTGATTAAATTGTAAATATAACGGTTATTGTCCTTCAGCACGGCCACATTGCCAATATGTTTGTTTTGCTTCAACAACTCGCTGATTTGTCCGAATTTGCATTTAAATTGTAGGCCGATGCCCCCGGACATGGCAAAATCGGCGCTTGTCGAGTGCACCAGCGAAAAGTCCTGCGGTGCGCTGAAAATATTTCCTTTCACTTCGATAATTTGGCATTTTGGTGGAATTTGCTTGGGAAAAAATTAAATAAAATTAATCAAAATAATGGAATTATTAATTCCCGGAAGCTCTGCCTGCTGCCTCTGCACTTACCACCGTTTGATTGTAGCTGCATATGAGTATTTCAACATTTGCCTCCCTTGCGAATACCGTGCGGATTAACTGCTTTACCCGCTGCCACTCCAAGCCATCACTGCCACTGCAAATGCGTGGCATGGCCACCTTCGTTATCTCATGTATGCGCTTTGGTGGAAAAGAGTTTATAAATTGGTAAGAATATTCAAAAAGTGAAATATGATATGCCACTTCATTTGGGTATTACTAAGCAAATTTGTGCGTTAATGAATTTAATAAACCTAATCTTCTTAGCGGGAAAGCGCAGCACGTGCCATTCAAGTTCCTGTTGTGATTTCACTCTTACTTTCCATTGGGCATGCTTGTGTAGTGAGCAACGGTTTCAAATTACCGTTACAAATGGTTAATGACATTTTTAAATTGTACGGAGATTTCTAAGTTATTCAACGCTGACGAAAAAAAGTCAACTCCGGCTCTTCACCGGCTGATCATTCGCCATGTCACGCTGTTATCCTGGTGATCTCAGGCTCATTTCAAAGACATGTATTCCATTTCAGATATTGCACGGCTGTGCTTTGTCGGTTATCTGGCTGTAAAACAACCTGTGTGCATGCCCATGATTTTCTGCGCAGGTCATGCAGTCTCTATGTGACAGTCTTTATAAGAACCAAATAGATATAATCGTCTTACATACCCCTTCCCACAGGCCGTAGCTAAAATATTAGTGAAATCTAGTCTAATCTAGTGCTTGTGGCGAAGTGTTTGTTTTGAGATTCGCCTAAGCATGCTGGTTAAATCATGGCTGAAAAGCTGACTGGCTCGGACTCAAGAGCTACAACTAGATGATCTCACAAAACCTCACTAAATAATATTAGAGATTTAAAGTTGCAATTCTAAATGCGGACGTAGCTCCCCTCTATACCCAGCCCAATTCAATTTCACATTATGCACCCTCAAAACCTGTAAGAAAATACCTTTCCTTATCACATACGTCAGACTTTCAGCGTTTTGCGTTTTTCCCGCCTCTTGTTGTTGTTAACTCATAATTAAATAAAATCCGTTTTCAGAATATACTTCGGTAATTACCATATGTTCGCGTAGACAAATCAAAGCCGCATGCAATGTACTGTACGTGGTGGTCTCGTAGACGTTTTCTTTAGTCACCAAGAAGTAAATGAAACGCGACTGGTGCTCCATGACGGCGACGTTGCCCACGGTTATCGGTTGTTTGCTGAGCTCTTCGAAATTGCCGAAAATGACAGCGAATTGCCAGGCGAGTGAACCCTTCACCGTACTCAAATCGGCGGAGACGGCATGAGCCAGGGCATATGACTCCGGCGCATACAGTAAATTCGTTTTCATTTCGGTCAATTTGAATTGATGCATTTTTGGTTCGCTTATTTGTAGCTGACTTTCATAAATACCTATGTATAAATCGCACGAAGACTGTCGCCAATCATTGGATAGCAATTACAATGGACACATTTTTTTCGCGTGATGGCATAATAGAATAAATGAATGATTATGAATGAAGCATCAATCAACAGCCGGCGGCGAAAATCACAACGTCGTTAAATATGAAAGAAAAAGTAAGCAAAATAGTAGTAATTATGGGAATCAGTGAAATGATGGGNATATATATAATATATACATTATGTATATTGTACGAGTATGTACATGTAGTGGCCTCAAACGGTTAATTAATGATTTTTATCTAGGATTTGAATAGCGGATGACAGTCAGTTAATTTCCATATGTATGGTTGGCATTGCGTACCGCGTTACGGAAAGCCCGGGTTCAAATACTGGTGCCGTACTAACATCCAAAACAGTTATAGAAAATTATTTTAAAATTAAGAATTAAACTAAATTTTCTGATTGTGGTCGCACCTCAGCAGGGAATGTCAACCCCTCCGAGTGATATCTGACATGAAATAAAGCTCCTCATAAAAACCATCACTCGTTCGGAGGTGGTTCAGTATAAACTCGAGGTTTCTCCATTTGTTGGAGGTGGACTGAAATCGAAAATCGCTGAAAAAGCGTTTATAATTAAATTTCAGTGGTGGTAAAACTAAGTTTTTGAATCGGCAGTCTTCACAATTTGCAGAGCCGCAATAAATGAGTCAATGGATGATAATGTGGGCATTTTTCAAAAATGGTCAAAGGTGATTAATCTCAATTCATGGGTTGGTTGGTTGGTTTCGTTTTCTGTTGTCATAAGCTTCGTTTAAAATGACAAAACTATGCTCCATTAATACAAATTTTAGTGAATTTTTGCCTGTTGTTGTTGTAACTGCCAGATATCCTTGGCGGGATAAAAATCTGGGTCGTTCCGGTACAAAGGAACCTTTTTGACTCACCGAGCGCGGTTCAACGATATTCAGTGACAATTGGTACTGCCCATCAGGTCACCGAACGGAGCTAAAACTGTATTTGCAGAAATAATTTTAATATTTGTGCCTCTTTACCGTTGCGAAATTCAGTAAATCGCAGTTATTTTATAAATAATTCCAATACCCGTCGCTGTGATTAAGCCCATTTTGTGTTTTGTTTTGATTTGGATGTCAAAAATTACAAAATACCACTGCATGTACACACACATGTACATATATGTACGTATGAAGTTTTCATATTTTCTAAACTGAAATATTAAATTATACATTCAAAATATTTGTTAAATACTTACATGTCTAGTGATCACGACAGATTTTTTGAACTTTTTTTTTTTTTTAATAAACTTTTTTACAGTTATTTATTTGCTGTTTCGCAATATTGTCTCTTCGCACACTCTGAAATGAGTTTTGGTAGCTTTTTCATTAAAATTACACTAACAAAGTGACACTTTAATTGTTGGATTGTTATTATTCAATATGCGCTTGGTTAAACATTTGTTGTTTTTATTGTTGTTGTGTTTGGTTGGTTGATTATTTGGTTAATTGGTGCCTTTCCGGCTGCTACGCTTGCGTTATCTATTACTCTCGGTGCTGTTTGTTGGTTGTTACTGTCATGCTAGTTGATTTAGTACTGACAACACCAAAATACCGATAGAAATGACAAAGTAAATATCAAAGCCACAAATGTACTCTCATGCCCACAGACTACCTTTTGCCAACGAAAAGCGACCATCGCACGACCGAATGCATGACTAGAATACAAATTCAGATAGTCATGTGTACGAGTATACACACAAACACACATATCGAACATATACACGTATATCAGTGGATCATTGAGCTGGATGACGAAGCCGGCCGGTTGGGTATTCAGCAGACTTGGGCGCCACTGCGGTTTGCTAGTGGTGGAGCGGAAGTAAGAGGAAGTACATACACGTATGTACATACAAATGTATGCATAGAAGATCACTGGGTGCGAGTGCGTAGACGTATTTTGTTCATTTCGAATGGCCTCTTCCTTCCCCAACAATCTCTGTAATTGAGCTTGAAGATTTGCTAGACGTTTTGATCTTTTTCGCCGAAAACACTACGTATGTATGTATGTATTTCGGTATGCAGTCAATGCCAGGCAAAGCATTGAAACATTTTTGTGGGAAAGAACTTTGCGCTACAAAATATACACAGTCACAAGAATGTGAATGTAAGCAATTACCTCTCAAGCATATTAATCACTTAAAAATCTATATATACCATTTAACGGTTCATTGTTTTATGCCATATGTTTTTGTTGTATTTTCCTTTACGCAACGCTATTGGATTCTGAAAGATAATTGATTAACTAAACCTACTTTTGGAATGAAAACTGAACCAATTTATATCTGCTATGTACATACCGACATACATATAGTGTTTACATACATACGTAAAAGCGTGAGAAATCGAGATTAATGTTTAATACTATTTTGCTAAGACCATTTAACATAACTGTTAATAGTTTTTAAGTTTGTTAAATAAACAAAATGTAGAAAATTGTGGATTTATTGAGAATCTAAAAAATCGATATCTGAGTTCGGCCGCGGCAGCCGAGTGGTTAGCAGTGCGTACTGCCATTTTAAGGCTCGGGCTCGAATCCCCGTCATTTATAGAAAATTAATTTAAATAAAAAATTAAGCTAAAATTTCTGAATGCGGTCGCCCCCATCAGCTGCTCGGAGGTGGCTCAGTATAAACTCTAGGTCCCTCTATTTGTTGGAAAATAGCAAGCCTTAAAACCACAAATTCGTGATGGAGCTCGGCGGAAAATCGCTTCAGCGCTTACAAAGCGCCAATTATATATATATAAGCTCAAAAATAATGTTTTTTATTTCTATAAATTTTTTTGTGAGATAACGCATTACATATTTACATTTAAATAAGTTGAATTTAAAAAAAGTCGACCTTAAAATGTTATTTATTAATCAATTTATAAAGATTTCAAGACAAATTTTGAAACCACAACACTCCAATTCTGTTCTCGAATATTGTTAAAAATCTATTTCAATGAAGTTTCGTTGGATTAGTAATGTAAATTTAAAAAAATGTGCATTTTAAAAATGTTTGGTTAGAATCGTTAAAATATAAGAAATATGTGAGTATGAACTCATGAGAATATGAACTCCTTTGAAATATGCAAACTCCTTAATGTAAGGTTATAATTTATTTCAATTAATGTTATTTCGATCGAAAATCGTTTCAGTGGTTACAAAAAGCGCCAATTATACCGATCAACACGATTTCCGGGTCTGAGTCCTACAAATTATAATTCCATTTCTCCTTCACTTTTTTGTTAAAATTTGCTTCTGTACTACTTTTCGTCCGTGCAAAAAGATTTTACATAGCCCCAGTGGTTTAAATGGCAAAACCTTGGGTATTACGTCACAAGCCCGCGACGCAAGCCAATGCGATTAGCAAATAATTTCGTAATAAAATTACACGATTCGCAAACATTGTGCCGGAGTAAATTTGTTCAGTATGCAATTGTACTGTCTCATTGAAAACCACGCGCGTTAAAAAAACACCTTTTTATTTTTCTAGTTTGTTACTAAAGTCTTTTGTTTCTCACACGAAAGGATACAAATGGTTTATTTGCTCATTTTCAAAACTTCCCATTCGGCCATATGTCTTTTCCAACATCATATTAAAATATGTGCAAATTTAATTTCTACTTGCGTTATTTCATCATAAAAGTCGATTCACCCTAATTTGAGAATAAAGCGTAATGTTTACTAATACTAAAAAGTCCAAATTTGTGAGAACAAATATTTTTCCATTTTCCGAAACAGATAAGATTCAAAATTAGGCAATAAAGTACGCATTTATGTATGCACATGTATACATACGTGTATGTGTGTATGTATGTGCGTACGCAATAGAGAATCATCAATGCTATGTCTGGCAGATTTTGTTTATTTGATTTGTTCATAGACTGAGTATTTACGTTGTTAAATTTTAGGAAATGCGATCATTCGTTACTTATACGGTAAATTCTAGTAATGTTCTATTTGGATAACCTATATACCCCTTACTCCACACACAAATCCACATATTCAATAGGAAAATGTCAATAGTTGCTTCGAATGTTGTTTACAAAAGTTTTCGCGAAATAACATTGATTTGCTATTGATGTACCTACACACTCGTATGTACATATCTACATACATGCATATGTTTATCTTATGTGACCTAAAAATGTATTCTTGTACTGATGATCTAAGTTACCGTTAAAGACAAGCTCATTAAAAATTTTGAAGGTTCAAAAGCAAGCGAAACTAAATTTCAATACCAATTCAACCAAACCAAAACAACCGGAATTCGATTAATATTCACATCAATTATCACCTAAATATTCTTTAACTTTCGTTTTTTATCATTTAATTTATCACTGTATTTTTTCACTTGCAAATTAACTTGTTTCATAAAAGAAGGAAGATTCCAAATGTTCTAGCTATACATATTAATTTCAACTCAACAAGTGTCTCTTAACTTGTCTACACACTCAATCACAAACATGTTGAAGTGGCGTACAAACAATCGCGGAATAAAAAAAATTGCTGATGATGATTAGTCAGTAGACCAGTAGAAGCTCTATTTTATCTTCCTCTCAATGTGGATAGCATTTAAGCTGCAATTCACAATGACATATCTAATTATTTTGTTTCTGTTTATGTTGATAAATATTGAGTGAAAGTAAAGAATTGAATTTATAAAAAGGAAAAGTGAGTTTAATAAATAAACTAGTAATAAATAAAAATTTAAACTTTAGCAGCTTTGGCAGAACGGCATTAGTTCACAACAACAGAACGAGCTTTTACTCGCTGTCCCACTATTGTGAATGGACAGCCAAAATTTGATGTTGAAAACATTGAAAACACAGCCAAATAAAAATACATAAAACGAGTTTTACGCACAGAGCACCAAAACAAAAAATGAACACAATTAATTTCATTCATGCAGATGCTTCAGCGGCAACGAAAATCGCTTTTTTCGCTTGCGCACCTATTTATAGCGCTTTGTGAGTACAGGTGTTATTCGGCGATGTTGCAAATTGTCAATTCCATTGCATAAGAACTGCATATATACGAATGTAAGTATATGTTGACGCGAATAATGGCGGAAGAGAGGTAGCGGAAGCGCCCCCATTAGTCTAATGTACGTATGTACGTATGTACATATATGAACCAAGCACCAGCGCATGTGAGGTGAAAAAAGCGCGTCAATTATTGCAAATTGTTAGTATTATTGCCTATGTAAATAGTTAGTTAATACTATTGTTTAGTAACGCTTTGACACTGGAAAATCATGCAAATTGTTATACTTACAGAAAGTTATTAAATTAGGCTGATGTTTGTGGCTTGAGTTCGTTGCTGCAACCAGAACAGCCTGACCTGCACACTGCCGTTCGTATAGCGTTTTATAAACAATTTTATATCTATTAAATAGTGCAAAATTACACCTGCCAAACATTTACTTTCAATCAATGCAAAATTATCGTTGAACACCAAAATCTCCTTAATTGTGCTTAGTGCAAAAACAGATGTAGGTGGTTGACGTTCCTGTATCGCCCACTTGTACCTAAGTATATGTATATGTATGTTTGTATGAATACACAAAACAAACAAGTTGAAGCGTAAACGCAAAGAACAACAACTCAAACTCGCTAATTCGCGTTGTCTTATTAACAATATATTTTATGTAATATTTTTGCGATTCCGTGCCGAGTAGCTCTTTCGATCCGTTTCGCAGTCAGTTGCGGATTAACTCAATCGTAATTAAAGATTTATGTTCACACTTGTGTTTTGCGTTAGCGCACTAGTTCTCATTAATCTATAATACTTTAAAGTTGAGCGGAAGAAATCTAAAACATCCAGTTCTTTATGCTTTTTATTTATTTGACAATGTTATGTTGCCTTGTTTTCCACAACTTTATGTAAATGTGTATGTGTGTGTTATTTCTCAACAATTCGCCGCAAAATGAGAGTTTACTGCTGAGAACATGCTTGCTACGTTATTATCGCAAAGTGGTTCCACGAGTAGCAAAAGGTGAACAGTGCCGGCAAATCTGTTGGTATACTGTAGTTTCCGGTCGCTACAGTTATATCAAATATTCACAACCCAGAATAGGTTGGTGTTTTATTAAATTAGCAGAAAAAATTATTAATTTGATTTTTAAGAAAAAGTACTTTATTATTTTAAGAAATTTTCTCTGTATTTTTGTTCATGCTCCCTTTAAGCAAACCTCCAATTGGTTTTAGGCTTAGAAGCATGCAAGAGGGCAATCTTTCCTGCGTTCGACTTGCTTACGACGAAACCTTTAGCCGCAATCATCACGCGTTTTAACTAGTTGCTTGGTAAGAGTTTTTCCATTTATCTTGAGCTCAATATTGGAAAGAGTACCATTTACATTTGTATAATTTCTGCGAAACTAAAGAGAGTAAATCGATTAATCTCAACATTTCATAATTAAGTTTATTTTAAGCTCATCTAAAAGCGATAAGGAAAGAAAAAAACAACAACAACCACAAGTGCTTGCTTAATAATCTCAATAAATCATACAACGAAGGGTTTTTTAATCCTAACCTCGTAATACAAAAACTTGGATGATAAGTTTACCCTAGCCAAATCAATGACTGATTGACGCACCCTCGTTGTTTTGTAATCGCTTGCAAAACCTACTCAATAGCGCAAATCGTAACTTAAACTGACCTTTTTAAGCGCCAAACTATTAACCGGTTCCGAAAAGTCTCTACAATTCTGCATATTTCTTAAGGCTGCAAATAACAATTATTAATTAATTGCCATTCACTTATTGATTTAAATAACGACTTCGGATATGCGCATTAGCTACAACCCACAGTCATTAATTTTAAATGCACTTTAAATCGCTGTTTCTCTCTCAGCAGCAGAAAGTGTACGTTCACAATATTTGCAGAGATTGTAATTTCTATCGAGTTCCTTCAATCAAACTTTTGCAGTAGATAGTACTAGTAGACTAGACACAATTGTACCAAATATATGAAATAAAAAAAAAATCAAATTGATACGTAATCGTCAAAGCGAATCATTATTTATTTAACAAAGAATTCGCAAGAAACAATGAGACATACCATGTGTTCTATATACATATTCTCGCAGCTTTTCTACAATGCCAACGTTCGGCGAGAAATTTAGATACTTGTACGTTTGTGTAGCTGTGAGTGTAAAGCAGCAGCAGACACAGAAGACATCAGTGGGCAACGAAAGCTGGACGCGGGCAGTAGACCGGGTAGAGTAGTGGAATGAGCACATTTATTAGCGGCCAGCAGTACGAATATTTGCAGGCCAGAGAATTTTCCAATTAGTGAGTTTTGGTAAAATCATTAGAAAAGTGATCAGATATGAACTTTGTTTGAAAAATAGAGAAAAAGTTTACACTTCATAGAAAATTGGAATATTTTGTGATTATCTTATTAAAAATAAAATAATGGAATATTCATCAATGAACACACACACGTGCCTTATATAAATATACATAAAAATGTGTAGTTCTTGTTGAATTCGCACTAATTTTTCATACTTTTTCTCTTTTCGTTTAACGTCATCATCGAACAATCGGATTTTTGTTTGTCTACAACAAAACAAACAAACACATCTATATATTGCCCACACAGCTGATTAGTCAAAAACAAAACAAAGTGCTAGAGATAATAAGGATAGCTCACCGAACCTTCGATTGATTCTCTGTCCTTTTATGCTTTTGTCTGTTTGCATCTTCCCGCCAATAATAAAATGACATCTATGACATTATTCAGCTTTCCATCTCGTACGATCAGTACTGCACAGTGGCGTTCTTCGTCGTCTAAACTAGTTAAATATATACGTGGGAAAGAAGAGAATGCATCTAATCTGTTGGCCCCCGCTGCGGTAGTTAGAAATTTCACTAGCTTAACAACCGGAAGACAAATTCGCTTCCGCAAACAAAATGTGGGAAAAACGTCTGTTATTGGAGCTACGGAAAATGCTTGCATTGGTAAGTAGATTATTATAGTAATTTTGGTCAACATTGTTGTTGTTTCATGTGTCTGTTGTATTAATTTTTTTTTTGCGCGGAAAAAGAAAAGATCTCAGTGGGAAGACTGATTTTTATTTAAGATTGCTGTATTATAACATTTAAAAATAGCAATAATGGTAAATATTAGCATTTCTGCTTCTTCCTGGTCGCATAACTCTAAATGAAGACTTAATCTAGGGTTTGGTGGGAAAACGAAAAAGACCTCTAACCTCTCCACCGCTATAACCAAATTATTATTGTATATGTAAAGTCTGTACAGAACTTAATTTTCGAGTTTTTTAATAAATTTGAATTGTAATAGTTTCACTGTGACATACACATTTTTATTGACGCAGCAAATTCAAAAATTTGCGAATCTCTTACATAATGAAGTCACAAGTGCTTTATAAACAACAATAAAAATACTATAGAGAGAAAAATTCTCATTCTTTATTCGCATATTTATTGATAAATAACCACGTAGAAACATTTAGTGTTTCTAGACTAACTACTTAAGGGGTGAAAAGGGTACATAAGGGATATTTACAGATCTATTCTGTTCATTCAGTAAATTTTGTTACTATTTACAGTTTATACTAAACCGCCTCCGAACAGCAAATTTTTTTACGAGGAGCTTTTTTATTTCATGTCCGAAATACACTCGGAGAGGTGGACATTCCCTGCCGAGGGGCAACCGCAATTAGAAAATTTCACTTAATTTTTTATTTAAATTAATTTTCCGTCACTTTTGGATGTTAGTACGGCACCAGAATTTGAACTCGAGTCTTCCAAATGTCCGTACGCAATGCCAACCATTCGGCTACCACGGCCGCGGCAAATACAAATAAATCAAAATTTACTCATTTTTGTTGCGCACCGTCTTCCATTTCGATGTAAATATTCTTATTTCTACTTTACCAACTGGCAATGTAATTTGATATGGTCGAAAAAAGCAGTGCTGCCAAAGTTTTTTTAAACAATGTAGCCTGTGCGCTAGAATGCCAATTTTAATTTCGAGTGTTAAAAAAAATTAACAAAATTTACTTCACAGGCGGCAGTGAGAAAAGACATGTTAATTTTCAAAAGAAGTAGATACCTCACTATTTTTTTTGTTATTCATTAAAAAAATCAGATTTTATTTAATTTCTGATTGTTTGTTTTTAACCTAGAACCCAGAAGTTTTCGCTGAAGCGCATTAGTCGTGTCTTTTATTAATCGACATGGCTTCTACATTTCCCTATTGTTTCAAAACAGTTGATATATATATTTTTGAAATCTTCTACTGGGTTGCTGCTAATCCAAATGTTTCTTTTATATACTTAAGTATATATTTTGGCACAAATTACTGTTCTCCACTTCCATATACATTTTTATTTATTTTATTATTTGCATAAATGTTAAGGTCTTATACAACAATTTTGTCAAAAAAGAGACGTACGCCTCTTTTATGGTATTCCAAAGCTTTTTGAATATGTTTTGTGTACGTATGACTATATATATATTTACTATGTACTTCATTGGCGGCTTGCTTGTTCTTTAGTGTTCAAGTTCAAGGCTTATTTCTTAATGTTGTTAATCATTCATAATTTTTATAAAATGTATGTGTGTGTGTTGGGTGCAATTTGTTTTAATTGGTTAATGTAAATAGTTTTGTTTGCGGGTCGGTGGATATGGTAGCAAAAGACGCTCCTTTGATGGATGGATGTCATTTTCCGATACTAATTGATTGGCATTTCGGCAGTCTTTATTGAAAGATAAATAAAATTATACAACAAAATATTTAATTGACTTTTAAACTTTTACAAGTATTTTAAAATAATTAATTTATATTAAAAATTGAAAAGCTTTTATACCTTGGCATTTATAAATTTATTTGCATTAATGTTTTTTAAATTCAATTTAGTTGCTATCAAAAGGAAATCAGCCCAATAATTTTAAGCAATGAAATACTTATGTGTATGTATGTATACATACATGTGCTATATACAAACGTTTGTTCATGCCAAATAAAGCTAACAATAGGTGAATGCATAAAAGAGTTAATATCTTAAAATACGTAAAATATATTTTCTTGTCTGGGTAAATATTAATACATATTAAGGTTAATATTTTTGTGTGTGTGTGTATGGTTTTATATTCAACTCGTGTCTTAATTAAAGACACTACACCATTGTTCATAATAATAGCTACTCAATTAAAAATTGCTGAAATAACCATTAGTTTATCGCAGTGAATTTATTGAAAACTTTGCCTAAAAAAAGTAGAATTTCGATTTCTTGATATATTTTGGGAAACCATTTTTTTATTGAAATAAAATTTCCCATTTGAATAATTTTACGACTTTCTTATTTTATAATGATTACTTTAAACGATGGGCTTCAGTGGTTCATTTTGAATTAATGCTAAAAAATAATAAAAAAATATCTAACTAGAAAGTCATTTCGAAAGCTGTTTTATTGAATTCAATTTTCAAGATCGAAGGCAGTCCCTTTGAAAATAACAAAAAATCCATAAGTGCGTCCATGCCAATGGCCGGATGTGTAAATGTACACTTATCAGTTGGCATAAATACACACAAATAAATACCAGCAATGTACACGTATGTACACATGCTTCACCCTGCTGCTACTAGGGTAGGCAGGCCTCCGCTCGTGCTAATTTAAACACATGCTTTGTTGGTATGTTTTCTCGCACGGCCCTTTACTCAAGTTTTTACTTCAGCAAAGGAAAGCCTGATAACAAATGTTAACAAGCTACAGCTCAAAAGCAACAAATACACATAATGAAATATTTCGGCAAATTTAAGCATTTGAATTAATAAATTCTGCTACGCTTTGCTCTCGACCATCGAGCTTGGCGAACGCTCGTTTCGCTAAACGTTTGCGTATTCTTATTTACTTTTTTATTTTTTTTTTTTATGGAAGGAGAAAAGCAGCCGCCCAACCCGACAATTCTCATTCAAACGCGGATCGTCGAGCGCGATTGTCGTCTTTAATTCACCATCTCGTTTTTTATTCGTAGTTGACGTGTGCATTGCAAATTTGCACTTCTAATTTTTGCGTTAAAAATTTTTACATTTTATTAAAAAAAACAATAACAAGTTATCCGCAATTCATATTTTTTCACTTAGCTAACGTGGTGCGTGGTAGTTCGCTTAGAAAGATGTCAAGTGCTCAGCAACCCAAACTCGTCGCGGTCGCGGAGTCCAAACGTTTTATGACCGATTGCTTTTTGGCTGTGAATGTGCCCAGAGATCACGCTGAGGCTATGGCCGATCTGCTTGTGGGTGCTGATTATCGTGGTCACTTCAGCCATGGCATGAATCGTCTCGAAATGTATATAAACGATTTGGCGATCAACTCCACCGATGGCGCTGCCGTGCCCGTCATACTAAAGGAGACACCTTCCACCGCATGGGTGGATGGTCGCAATGGCTTGGGTGTAGTGGTTGGCAATTACTGCATGGATTTGGCTATTAAGAAGGCGAAAGCTGTTGGTGTTGGTTGGGTATGTGCCAAGGGCTCGAATCACTATGGCATTGCCTCCTGGTATGTTCTACGCGCACTCAAGGAGGGTCTAATGGGCATGACGACTACGAACACGTCGCCACTGATGGCACCAACACGTTCAAAGGAGGCGGCCTTAGGCACGAACCCCCTCTCTTTCGGTGCACCCGCTAAGGATGATAAATTCTTGTTAGATATGGCCACCACCGCAGTTGCTGTGGGTAAAATCGAAATACAACGCCGTAAAGGTGAGCCTTTGCCTGATGGTTGGGCGCAAGATCCAACTGGCAATCAGACTAACGATGCTGAGCTGGCTTTTAGCACTGGCTGTTTGATGCCACTCGGTGGCCCGGAAATCTCGTCTGGTTACAAGGGGTATGGCCTCGGTGCTATGGTTGACATTCTGTCTGGTGTCTCGGCGGGTGCTAACTACTCGACGAAGGTACGTAAGTGGACACATGCAGGTGCGAATACAGCAGCTGATTTGGGCCAAGTGTTTATTGCTGTCGATCCGAATTGCTTTGCGCCTGGTTTTGAGGATCGCATGACCGACTTCAACGTTCGGCTGAGAGGATGTGAACCGGTGAGTAATGAAAGTATTTTTTATTAAAAAAGGTAGCCCAATTTGAAAAAAGTGGAAAATTAAAAGAAATTAAAGAAATTTAATTGATACTTTTTCAAAGAGAGCTACATGCGAGTATATCTAAAAATTTCAAAAGATTATTAGTAACATTTTTTATTGAAATATTTTATATTTACAATATACTACATACACGTACTTAAGTATATTAAAACAAGGTTTAAAATAAAATAAAATATTTAAAAAAATTCATGAAATTCATTTCGTTCGTCTTTCTTTCAGAGTGACCCCTCCAAGCCCGTTCTGGTCGCTGGTGACAAAGAGGACTTGAACATGAAAGCTGTCGATACAGTCGGCGGCATTCAATACCTGGAGAATCAACTAAAGACTTGTGCGGCCTTAGCCGAACGTTTAAATATAAAACCTCTTAGTTTTAATTAATCAGCGAAGGGCGTACATTTTGCAAACGCTGCATTTTATAAATGATTTTTATTTATATGAGAAATTACGTAATTAAAGCCGGACAAGCTGGCGAAAATGTATGTACTACGGAGAGTACATATGTATGTAAATGCTTACATATCCATTTGTGCCTATCTATTGTTAAGACTTAGCTGCAATATAACAGTGCTTGGTTCTTGTTATTGCATTTTCAAGCGCATTTCACACTTTCTGTTCGTTGTATTTTTTTTTTATTTTTTAATTCAAACGAGAAAAATTAAAATTATTTGATTGAAAACAAACAAGCTTTTTTGATTATTTGCTAAAGATAGTAGGCTGGGCGGATGAAGCAATGAAGCTTTTAAATGGATTCAGCTTTTGCGAAAGCATATGCAAATACACACACACACATATATATATATATGAATATTTAGCATCAACAAATAACAACAATTTAACGCTCGCCGTATTACTTCGCTTATTCCAGGTTAATATGTGCGTATGTGTTGGTAGCTTGATATCGGCTGTTTGTGAGAGATTAAAACTTTGTTATTGATAAGAAGAAATTGTGATAATTAATATGAATTTTTAAAATTGTTTGCCCTGCCGAGAATAAAAATTTCTAATCCCGAAATTTCGAGATTTACATAACCGTTCAAGTCTCACACAATCAACAAGTAAAACATGAAAAAGCTAACTGACTGCTTTCGGAGTAATCAAGAATTAACAGAAAGCATCGGGTGTAGCTTAAAATATTAATTTCATTCGTACACATGCGAAATATCCAATTAGTTTACTTACGTCACTGCATGTGTCCGAATCATTGTGGGCGAACGCGCGCCTGACCGTTGCTGGTGTAGTAGAAATCAAATAAATTTGAAATAATTGCAAAACTGTCACAACCCAAGAAGAGGAGTATCTGACTTGTTGACTGTTGGTAGTTAGAGTGAAATAGGTTCCGTGAAACAATTTGGGGTTAGTTATTATTTCGTGAATGTAAGCATGTATGTATATGTGTGTGCATACATACAAACATAGATCTCTCGCTATTATTTGGCATTTAGATTTATTTCAACAATAAGCGTACATCTATGCAAACCGTTTGTTTGAGAGCAAACACTGTCTCAGCCGATCACGTCGGCGTGCATCACTGTACATAAATACACACACAATCGAAAGTTTTTATTGTTCAGTGATAGAAATTAAACTGAGATATCTAAATTAAATTACATATGTATTTGTTGTTAATTTTTCCGATGACACGCATTTACACGCATTATCAAGTCCAACGCACGTTTGATGCGGGCAAAAGTTAATTTAATTCTTCTTTGTTTTATTTAAGGAGAACGAAGAGAAACAAAGAGAGAAAGGGAAAGGAAAAGGCGCGATTTCATGCTTTACCATGCATCACGAATTTCTATTGAAAATTATTCTCTGTTTGTTTTTATACGCAGATTCGCATTCATAAAGCCGCACCAAACACCGATGTGCCACCGACCACTCACACATTTCGCCCTCATCCACTGGCATTCTGTTGCACAGCGCATACCAATAAGTTTTCGAAAATATACACATTCGAATTTCGAAAAATACTTGCTCCATCAACAACTGGCGGACACTACGTTGCCTCTGTAGCATCCGACGCATGAAAGTTTTGTACGAATCAGTATGTGACCGCAACTCGGAGTGGAAAGTAGTGAAAAAGTATGGAATGCAACATAAATTTAGCTTCACGTAAGCTGAGTGTTTGATTAAAGAGTGTGAAGGTGTGTGTTAGGGATTTTGCAACCCCCAATGCGCACACCAAACCCCTTTTGACTCCATTTGATATACACAGGCTATAGTGAACGGGCGACTTGGGACTCGCCTTGCAGACAAGGACGTTAATTTGTGGGAAAGTTTTTAAGGGAATAAAAAATGTTTGCTGGAAAGCCAGACAAGTGAAATAAAAAAATTTAAATTTTTATTACAAAAATTCATAAAAAATGGCAGATGGCAAAGGCCAATATCAAAAGTTGCCGCCCGGCTGGGATTGCAAATATGATCACGCAACGGGAAATTGGTATGTGTTATTTTTCTAAGGTATTATCCCTTAACAATCCGAGAATTTTAATTCGAGTTAATGTCTTTTAACAATTCCAAGAGTGTAACTTTATGTAAACAGCAACACTCCCGGAATTTCACAGCATACTTTAAGGAGTCTGCTGTGTGGTAATTTCCAAAATGGTTGCCATAATGATATGGCATGCATTGCATTGGTTTTGTAATTTCAAAATACAATTTTAGTTATATAAAACCCTTAAAGTGTTAAATATGTCTTATTGAATGTAAAATGTGTTAAACAATTATAATTTAAAAAGAAAAAGTGTAATTAAAGGACTCGCAATATGGGTCGGCACTTGAGTGAGTGCTTATAAGCCTACTTAACTTACATTTATGAAATATATGTATGTATATTATGTTTTCGCATAAAGCGGAATCCGCTATTATGTAAATAAAATGCAACAAGGATATGCTAATCCTTTGAAATGCAGAAACGTGAAAAAAGATACAAAAGTCGCTCACATAAATTAAGCACGACATACATACATACACTATATGCATGCCGTTGAAACATTGTATCTGTGGCTGCAATAATGCTGAGCAGCACGGTATTGTATGTATTCTGCACATATTTATACTCACAATCATACGACTACTACATCATTATATATTTCTAGGAAAACATACAGGGATTAACCATAAGCACATAAACATACATCTACATATAGATATGTATGTGCATTTATATGTGTTTACAGTGTTACAAAAACTAGAAATCATCGATTTTAAGCATTAGAGAGTTGTAAAAAGTATCTAGTATTAGCAGATTCACTATGAAGAGTCACTTACTTCATTCTTAAGAGTATACCCATTCTAACCAAGGAAGTAGTCAAAAAATTCCTTCACACTTTTTGAGCCTAAAAGCGTATTTAGAACACTCGAGACAAGTGTCAACCGATTGGGTTCCATTTTTCCCCTCAGCTCGACTTTTATTGAATATAACAGCTCACAGTTTAAGAAATTTGCTGCAATATTGAGATCATAATATTGGTGATAGGCTTACAAATTTAGTTTTGACTTAAACGTGTGGGTTTCAATGAGGCAACCTTTTATCCGAGTTGGTCCTTTTGTCAACTGTTACTTGATTTACATTCAATTTGACGGTTGCAAATCGTGCAAATTTATTACCAAAATAACGGTTCGGTAAGCGCAACGTATTGCACAAAATTTTTGTTCAGCGATGTTTTTCACTTTTTGTTAAATACTTTTGATGGTGCGTTAATAAACAAAATGGGAGTGACTGAAAGCCACATGCATAAAAAAACAACTTTTATGATGGACGAGGAAGTCTACATCACCTTCCACCAAAAATTATTCACAGATAAAATATAGAAAAGGACCACTGTGCGCAATTGCTTCTTCTCTAAAGAGTAGGTTTCGCGGGAAAAGCTTCAGTCAAATACCCATAGCTCCTATACACATATACATATACATATACATATACAAATAAGCAAAAATAAGTATTTACGTATACATATACGCACATGAGCATTCCTTTAAGTATGTTAGGCGCAAGTAAAAAGAAGAAGATTTTCAAGTGACTCGATGTCATTGCTCTTACTGCATCCCATATAATTTATGTATATATGTACATATAATACTTATGTATATACTTCTGAGATGCTTAGAAAAGTGAAAATTTACTGTTCATTCTATTTATTATATATTTTAATTAAATACGGCGAATTTGTGCAATTTATTTGTGTAATGTTTTTTTTTTTTTAACGAAATACAAAAACAATAACCAAAAGCAACGTAGAAATCGCAAATACTTAATTAATGCTTTAGTGAAAGGTCAACACGCAGTGAACAAGCAAACAAGTGCTTGCCTTGTATATAGTAATATATGCGCATATGTATGTATGAATACTATGCTATGTATGACGTCACTACGAATGCCAGATCAGTGCGGCCGGCAAATGCACATGACTGCTTTCTTAATTGCTTGGAGATGAAATAATATTGAAATAATTGAAAAAATGCAATAAAAGTTGAAAGGAAATGTCTAATTTGTCAGAGCAATCTGCTTGAAATCATAAATATTTAAATGGCTAAAGTGGAATTATCACAACATTCGGTAGACCTCGGCTCGAAACCTTATCCGCCCAACAGCCAAAATTGTGGAGAATTAATTTAACAAATTCTGGTCGCCTCTCAGCAAGGAATGACCAACTCTCCGAGGAAGAGGTCAGCAGGTTCCTACATTTCTTGGAAGAACATCAAGACGCAAAACCACAAATTAGAGGAGACGTTCGGACGAAAATCACTTCAACGGTTACAAAGCGCAAATCATATAAATATTAGACTTGAATTTATTGAAAGTTGGTAATAACATATTGAATATATTATATGTAGATATAGATACATATGTTTATAGAAAATAATGCCTACAATATCGAGTGTACAACAAATGCAGTTTTTGGCGCGAGAAATTTCACTTTGTATTCGTTTACATGGAATGTCCGAGCAATCAGTGGTTGCTGACTCCCAATAACGGTGGAGAGAAAATCAAAACAAAACAGAGGAGGAGACCATATTTTCATGCTTCTATGTTGAACATGAAACTGAATCTCGGTTTGTTTTTATAAGCGTATTCGCATCCTTTACGCCGCACGAGACATAGCTAAGCCACCCCCAACCTTCAACTCAACCATTCCACTCACTCACGTCGCCCTCATCTACTGGTATTTGGTTGCACAGCGCTTATCAGACATCCCAAGTGGTATTCGAAAATATACACATTCGAATTCGAAAAATACTTGCTCCATCAACAATTGGCGTACACTACGTTGCCTCTGTAGCATCCGACGCATGAAAGTTTTGTACGAATCAGTATGTGACCGCAACTCGGAGTGAAAAGTAGTGAAAAAGTATGAAATGCAACATAAATTTAGCTTCACGTTAGCTGAGTGTTCGATTAAAGAGTGTGAGGATGTGTGTTAGGGATTTTGCAACCCCCAAATGCGCACACCAAACCCCTTTTGACTCCATTTGATATACACAGGCTACAGTGAACGGGCGACTTGGGACTCGCCTTGCAGACAAGGACGTTAATTTGTGGAAAAAGAAATTTCAATTTTTTAAAAAGCCAGACAAGTGAATAAAGTATCGTGTGAAATAAGGAGATTTAAACTTTTATAAAGAATAATTTATAAATAAAATGGCTGATGCCAAAGGGCAATACCAAAAGTTGCCGCCCGGCTGGGATTGCAAATATGATCAAGCAACGGGAAATTGGTATGTTTTATTTAAAATTTATATGCAAACATATTCAAAATTCAAAAAGTTGTGTGCCGAAACTATTTCAAAAATTGTCTGCAAAATGTAATCTAACTAAGCGTTGAGCAAACATCAGACACTCCTGGAATTTCCTTGCATATTCCAAGGAGTCTGCTTGGTGGCGATTTTCAAAATGGCTGCCATAAATGTCTGGCGCATCGTAGGCTAATGTACATAATTAAAGTATGTGGTAGCATACTTTTAGGCGCGCAACATCGGTAAATACATTGATTGCGATGAAAGGTATGAAAAATTAAAAAAAAAGGAAAAATAAATGTAATTAGAAGAGTTTGTAGCCTCAGCCAACGTGTCGACACTTTTAAGGATGCCCAGCATTGGATGTAAATTTATATTATATAAAAACTATGTTTGTATGCGAATAACGTTACACATTACATCTATGTGTGCTTAGCGCACATACGATTACACACATATTGAAGTTGATTTTAGTAAATAAATAAATTATAAAGTGCTAAATTTGTTTTTGTATATTTTTAAATTGAATAAATAATTTCTTATCACTTCACTAAATACAAAAATTCCAAATTAAATATATAACTAAAAATATACGCATTTATATACATATGCACATACATATATTGTACACTTTTGTGGATTAACCTTTTATTATATTCAGCATTACTGATTTATAAATAAAAAATATGTATTGATACACACACATTAGTACGTAGTACACACACATATACACACATGTGTGTCACTGAATTCAATTTGAGATATCATAACAGGAGCTTTGCAGCAATTTGAATTGGGCGCAGGCATTTCTTGCGAATACAAAAATACTCATTTCATTTAGAGATAAGTACATACTTCACTACGGGATAAGTGGACGTGCATACATACATATGTGTGTCTCCAATTAAAATGAGGAGTTGCAAATGACTTTTCCTGTTAATTTCAACTCTGTTCCACGCCGCCTCGCGACTCCACTTAAAGAGATGAGCACAGCGAAGACAGGCAAGTGGTGTACTTAACACGTGTCACAATTTAAAATATAAAATAAATTTATGCAATTCAAAGTACATACATACACGTATGTACACATGACAAGTCACAAAATTGTGCCAAGAATATATTATACTTGACTTTCGTCAAATGAAAAAGAGAGAAAAAGACGAAAAATAATGAAATTCCCCCGGTGTAATCGCTGTTTAACTCAAGGACTTTGACTTTTCAGTTCCACGAGTAAATATACATACATACATATGTAAATGCATGCCTGTGAGTGCGCATGTATGTAAATAAAGTCACGTAAGGATGCTGTGGATTGCCAAGGCAGATTGAAAAATAAATGTAAACAAGAAATTTTTTCGTTTGGTCTTAAAATTGACTCAGAAAATGGGGTTGATGTCTCGAAATGCCGCCAGTCCGGGTTGAAATCTTAGTGTAGCAGCTTTTGCCTATGATGGTAGATTACTATTCATGAGACGGAGCTAAGTACGCTGTAGAGGGTCCATCAGTTCAGTTACTTCTAGTTGCTTTGGAAACTGTGTGATTTGATTCAAGACGGTACCGTTAATTTACCGAACACATTTTCTGAGTTGCAGATAAATTTTTTTCTTCAATTCTCAGTGCTTAAAGCAAGCATCCAACTCAAATTGTGAGAGGGGAAGTGATGCGAAGAACTTTCCCTTCTCACTTAGAGTTTTCTAAAGTTTTGCAAACAGCATTATTGAACAAAAATAATCTTAAAAAATTACTTGGCTAAACCAAAAAACATTTCTGCTGCCACAAACAGCGTGATAGGCCTTATTTTCGCTTGGCAACCCTTTTATTGGACTTACGCATTTTAAAATGTGCACATCAATACATTCACAGTCACTGAAAACCACACAATTCCGCAAACACACACACACACACTCACTCACTGCTAAAACTATTTTTCCAAGGCAATGCAATGTCCTTGTTCTTCGCCGTGAATCGCTCCGCACAGCCAAAATGTAAACACTCACACACACAGTGTTGTTGTAGGCCTTCAACTATCGCTGTGAGCAGAACCGACAAAATGGCAGCGAGAGTGGCCGGTTCTAGGACATTACCATGGCCAAATGTAGGAATAAGGTCGTGTATGTAAGAGGCCTACTGTGATTTGCAAAATGCAAGATTATTTATATGTATGTGCATGCGTGTATGTATGTATTTAGGAAGCATTTGTTTATCGTTGTTTTTCTCTCTTCTGTTTGCAGTTACTACATAAATTATTTTACAAAGGCCATGCAGCTGGAAGACCCGCGAGGACGTTATAAGCAATTGCAAAATGAGCGTTGCTCCACCGAGTCCATACCGATGCAGGTGAATTGAATTTTTGATTTGAATTTATATATAGTATACATAGTTTCCGTCTATTTATCGTATTTTTAATTAACTTGCTTACTTCTTTTTGTATGCTTTTCCCTTTGTTTTGTGCGCACCCTGTGTTTGCGCATACTCATACATACTTATTTATTTGTTTATGCATAGCCAATGCACGGCTCACCCTATCATGTGTATCCAAGCAACAACTTGACTGCGGTGCGTGCCTTTCAGGCCGGTCCTGGCAACAACACAAGTTTGCATAACATGTCATCCAGTCCGCTGCTGTCTTCTCGCGGGAATTTGGTGAGTTCCTCCCATGAAGTTGGAATTTATTTTAATAAAATTTTTGTGCTTACATGTTTTAGGAGTTATCGCCGTTACTCTTGCCACGTTCTTCGCTGACGCAAACGCCACGCTTGGGCAACATGTCGCGGCGCTCAACCATACAGGAGACCTCCTTCACCAACCCGATTGATACGGACGCGGTGGTTAATAAAATACAGAACATGTTTCCCACTGCCAGCGAGGATCACATACGTTTGCTGCTTAAAAAGTAAGTTCGTTGGGGTTAAAGATATTTGAAAAAAGAACTAAAGAAGACTTTCAAACAACTTCTCCTGTTCATTGTACTAATGACACGAAATCTTTCGCTTTTACACGCTTACCTCGTCGTGGCTTGTATTAAATTGTATGCTGTTACTAACCACCACTACGACAATATCAACTCACACATACATACTTATACTTGCACAATTCACACATATGCATACACACTTTCTTTAATTGTCATATGCATTGTTGTTGTGTGTCATACATACAAATGTACACATCTATATATAAAACAAACACACATGCACACAAACACACACACACACACGGGCGCAGATACTACAATCGCGAAGCTGTTGTCATAAGCGCCCTGCAAGTGGAAAAACATCCGGTCACCATGCCAGGCCCCTATGTAACGCCGCCTGCCCAACGCCATTTGTATCACAGTAACACCGTTTTTCATTTGACACCACCAGCGCGCCGTTTGGACAAGGGTATGGTAGCGCCACGCAATGCGGTGGGACCTTTTGGCGGTCTCAATGGCAGCGTTGCATTTGGCGGCACCTCGCGTACTGCCAGTCCGATTCCGGGCGGCCGTTTTGGTAGTGTCACAAGCGTACATGGTGGCGTTGGTGGCGGCGGTGGCGGCGGTGGTGGTTATATGGCTGCAGCTGCCGCCGCGGCCATGCCGTTTCATCAGGGCTCACCGCGTTTCGAACAATGGCGCAGCTCACCGAAGCCGCACACGTCACCAAAGATGAAATTGAGGTCCGCAAATCAGTTAATTTATGCAAATCTATATGTTTTTCTATTAGTGACATGGTTTTGATGTCGGTTAACAAGAAAAAAGAACTAAGTGCTCAATGTGTTGTTTGCTTTAAAGCAAAAATTTTTGCTTCTATTCGATATGACTGAACACAGCGAAGACTAAAAAGGGTCTCTTAAACTCTTACTTAGCCATTTTTTCTTGTTAATCCTCGATTTGTGTTGCATTTTCTAGAGAACTTTAGTTCAGTTACTAATTTTTTATTTAATAGTTTGTCATTTAAAAATCTTTTATTATTTTTAGTCCCGTCATCAGTTCATCGAAAATAAGAGTTTTAGTTTATGTATGTATATATACTCGTACATATTTAGAGTGCACGTCTAGTGCGTATGAGTTACAATCTTCGTATCTGAAAGGTCGATAATTCACAGAAAGGTTCAAATAGATTGATTTTTTCTGAAAGGCAAAGCTAACATAAATATAAATAAAACTCATTTCACTAAAACCAAGCTTACATTGGCTGCTCTCCAAAGAGTGCTTTTAAGAAAATCATAAAAAATCATTTCCATCTGATCTCCCGAAATTATACAATGTATTAGTACGTCACTCTATCATATCTTCAACTTCAATCATTTCTAAGAACTCGCCTTCTAGAGTTGGCGACAGCGTTTTGTTATCTAAGACCGTTTATGAATGCAGCTAAATGTAGGCTACTGAAATGAAATGTAGTCTACTTTTAGGGTTAAACAAATTAATTGGAGCAGGAGAGAATTTAAATTAATAAAGCAAAGCAAGTCAACAAATGAATAAAAAAGGAAGTTTGGATTTAAATAAACGCTAAACAAACTATAATTCCTTTAAGAGCGTTTTTTCTAATTTACTTTATTTTAGTTTTTACTATCGCAGCTTTATGAAATGCCTTTTAGCTTAAATTGTAACTTCCATTTCTTCAAAAGAGAATTCCTGCAAGATTTATTAATGCAAACAATTCAAACCAACAGATATATGAAAACGATATTCCCCAAAGCAGATGAGATGGTACTCCTGGACATACTTGCAAGCTCTGATAACAATGTACAAACTGCTTCGGAGAAGCTCATTTCCATGGGTTATACAAAACGCGACTTTATACCACCAAAAACAACACCTCGCGCCGATCATGAAGTTGGCGCACATGCCGCAACAGCTGCTAAGCGGACGGGCGATGAGACCATTATACCCTTACGTCCCAAAGAGTTCACTGCGGCGGAAAAGGAAGCAAGTAGGGGTTTAAGCAATTTCATTTTCTTAGTTTTTTTCTTTTAATGAATGGCGCATTACCTCCTTTGCAGTACAAGCGCACATGAAGGAGAAATATCCACTAATAGCCGAACGCATTATACTCATGGCATTGGAGTCGGTCAACTATGCTGAGGATCGCGCCATGCAAATTCTGCACATTGTGCACGAAGAGGATGAATTGCATGCAAAGAAAAATGCTGCCACTGCTGCTGCTGCTGCTGGTCCGGGTGGCGATGTGGCACTGCAATCCCTTGAGGGCGCTAGTGCTGCAGAGATACTGAGTGCGGGCCACGATGGGGTTGATGCTGACGACAGGTGAGTTTTGTTAGCAGTGAAAATGTTTGTTGATGAATTTGAATTGTTTTTAATTTTTAATAATTTTCGAAAGTGCGAAGTGTTAACCCTTCTGTGACCCCTCATCTTTCACCAATGATATCCTGGTGTATGTTCTGTTGCCTTAATGAAATTTTCAATTGGTTCCGTTTTTACTAAAATTGCAAACACTCTAAGACTTGCTATGAAATTTCCAAATTGTTCATTTAAAATGTATAAAATATATAAAATGCGATTAATTATCAGCATTGTGTTTATTTGCTGGCCTACTTTCGATAAGGATGCTATGATGCCTTTTTTTGTCAAAACAAATTATTAACATATATTTAGCGCATTTATATAAATTAAACTTTTTTACCTTTGTTGATTTGAATTAAAATTGTGGAAATTTTCAGTTAATGTAAAACAAAAAAAAAAACATTTTATTACATAAAGTGATTTGGATATGAAGAAGATGGAAACAAGTTGTCTTAAAATATATTCCATTTCCGGAAATCAAATAAATTATTTAAAATTTAATTCAAATAGATTAGTAAACTAAAACAGTTCGTAACCAATTTTAAGGAAACTTCCTTTTTGACTACTTTCCAAATCATTTTATGTATATAGAAATTTTTTGAACTCTACTTTGTACTTTATACTTTCCGCTATTCTGCTTTCTTTTCCTTCTTTCTTCAACTACAAATTATGTATGTTATTTATGATAATAATTCTAAAACCATTTCTCCCTTATCTAACAAAAACAAATTTAAAACCAATAAGCAGCATCATCACAGTGATCGTAAAAACACCGTTAAATAGCTACATCGATGATAAAAATGCTTCTGCAAAGAGTGTCCCATCATTGACATCATCACCACCTATATCATCATCGCCACCAAACTCATCATCCTCATCATCATCAACATCATCAGCACCACAACTACCAAATGGCGCCTTGAAGTCCTCTACTAAAATCAAATCCAACAGAAATATTGGCAAAAAAGTAGCATTTCCCTCCATAAAGTTAACCACGCCCACTACAACCACCACACAGATCATACTTTCGAATTCCACCAAATGCATGGAGCGCAACATGAATGCATCTGCGGAAGTATCAATGCCAACTGCACCAGTGGTCTCATCAAACAATTCTACTGCAATCATTCATACATCCGTTTCACCATCGTCTTACTCAAAAATGTCACCGTCCAAAACCCTTAAGGGACTACATATATCGTCTGAATTGCCATCAACTTCCTTTACCTCTGTCACTGCCTCTTCATCCTTCAATTCCATCTCAGGTGCATATGAAAAAATCACAACCAAAAACATACTGGCGCGTTGCAATACATATACCTCTGGCGTCCAGGGATATCTGAATGGCACGAATTCCAATAAACATACAGCCACCACAGCCTCAGATGCTTCCACTTCGACTTCTATTTTGGAGAAACTGAAATTGACGCGCTCACGTGAAAAGACTGATCCACTGAAGTATGCTGTGCTTATTATGAAGTGCTTGCTGATGATATTTTCTTTGACACTTTAGAGTTTTCTTTTTTAATGTGTTGCTATTCGTTTTGGTATCCCTGCAAGAACAGTAACTGTCATTTGATCGATCAAGTGACTGGTGTGGCCGACGGAAATAGTTATCAGTAAGGAGAAAAACAGTTTTATAGTTATATTTTGCTTTAACTTTGTACTTGTCGAAGTGTTTCCGTCGTCAGCGCGTTCTTGCAGGGATGCCTTAGGGTGGTATTCCAACCTTTATCTTTTTTATAGAAAAATAATTGCTTTTTGCATTTTTAATACATCGTGTTTTGATTTTTTTTTTACTTTTATGTACCTTTAGAATTATTTTAATAAGTATCTTATGAGTTGTTAGGATGAATATAAACTGCTTGAACTTTAATTTCCTATTATTAGACTGAGTATAGCTAGAGGATTTATCAAAAATTTAGTTACTAATAACTTTTTTCAACTCCTTTGTACTTTTGATAATTTTGAGCACATTTTAATAGAAAAGTTCTCTTCAAAATGGTTTTATGGTAACTGAAAAATTTGAATTATTTTTCATTTTTATGAGTAATAAAATTATTTGCATGCTTCTTATCTTACCTTTCAACTCCACTCATTTAATCGTTAGGCATTTAAATATATTTCTTTGTATGTTTGTTTGTGTTTAAATATTTTTTTCTCAAACCACTATACTTAAATATTTAAATAGCTGCAGATATTCTAATTTGACTCTCTAATTGTAACAGAGATGATATTCAACAAAGTGTAACAGACGGTTTGGGTAAATATAAACAGCGTAAAGATTTCAAATCGATTGTAGGCCGCATAACCACCACAGGGCACAGCGCAGATTTGGCTAAAGGCGCCGACGAGAGCTTATTGCTGTAAGTGAGATATTTGTTTGATTGTAAATATTTTTAATTTCTTTTTATAACCGCTTTTGCTTAGCGCGGATTATGTGACCTGGAATGGCGCTAATCCCGATATGCCACATGGCAGTAATCAAAAGCTTTTGGCGCATGGACCTGATGCTGGAAAGTTAGGGGAGCGCAGCTACGCACCCATTGGACATAATACAGAGCTTTGCAAAGGTGCACAAAAGGGATTGGCAAAAGGCAGTATATATGGTCAGCTCGCTGCGGCTGATATTAAATGCAATTAATGGAGAGCAAATCAAGTCTTAGCGATTAAAACATCATTTGATCTTATTGTATGTATGCTTGTGTGCCAATGTAGTTAAAACCCTATTGAAAACCACAGAAAATTTTTCTAATAATAATTTTTTATTTCTTAAATGTTTAACTATGCTTTTAATATTTATGTGATGCATTAGCATTATTCGTCCATTTAATAATAGTTTGAAATAGATTTTAAAAACTACAATTTTTTCAACTCCATTTGAAATCTCAAATTATATAAATTCATACATACATATAAGCACTCTGATAAGATTGAGATAGAAAATACTAATATAATGCACAAAAATTAAATTCAAAGCAGAAAATTGATGCTTATAAACAAATACTCTTAAAACTATCGTATTTACGTAATTTTTGGAGAATATGTTGTCATTGAGACAATTAGTAAGAAGTTAAGTGTGTATGTATACAGTATAATTATTGAAAATGTATATTTTTTCGAAAACTGTACTTTTAATAAAGAACCTAAAAATTTATATGCTTTTCTTTTGGAAAAGAGGCGCACCTAATAACTTTGCTCAGTTCAGTTATGTCCTCGAAACTTTTATTAATCTGACCACAGAGAAACATGATTGTACAGCTAATTGTCTGAAATAAATCTAAAGGTTGATATTGTTGCTAAGTTTTTCAAAATAGTAACATATGTTCATAAAGGAAACTGCTAATGGCACATTGCTCATCTTTTTAATTTATTAATATATTAAAAGTAACTTAATATTTACAAGAATAATTAACATTTCTAAACTTCATCTTCGTTCAGTAACATATTTGGTATTCCATCTGTAATAGGGAAAACACGACCTGTTTCAGGACATTCTAGCTGACCTTCTAGAACATCTATTTCCAGCAGCAAGTGGTGCAGTTTCTTTAATAGTTCTTCATTTTCAGCGATATTTGCGGGTTGTTCGGAGGGTATATCATCGGCCAGGTCAGCCTAATGGAAAATTAATTATTAAGCACCAAATCTATAAAGAAAAGAAGAAAGCATACTATTTCAGCTGCTAAACGTATCGCCGGCCAGTCCAATCTTGGTAACAGTCGCTCTATAAATGTCGCATTAAATTCGCTTTCAACAACGTCCTTTTTAGCTATCTGTAAACGTGAAGTATTAAGCATTAGTTAAGGTTAATTATATTGAAGGACATAAAAAAGAAATAATTTTATTTTTCAACTCCCTTGGATAGAAGTTGCTGTCGGCAGTCATTGTATAGAACATCATTACTTACGGTCAATTTTAGCGGAAATCCAACTTTAACGCCTTTGATGGCCTTGGAAGTCAAAAAGTTGTAGGTACTGAGCCTCATATTTACACTGTTTTATTTAAAATTTAATTTATTGAAGGGTTCCAAACAAAGTCGGTTCTTTTTTACCACGTTCTTAAACAAATGCAATAACACCAGCAGTGCCACATTTCTTGAAATTTGGAAAAATAACTCTCTTAAGAAACAGAGCACCCATGGCTGCAACTGTATGCAAATTACAAATGACATTCTTGGTGTAATTAAATTATATTATCTTAATTATATGTTTGTCTTAATGATATTTTTTAATTAGATCTACCTGTAATTTCAAATTATTTTCTAGATTGCCAATAAACTAAGCCAAGGCAATGAACGTATATTAATATTTAAATATACGTTCTTTATATACGTTCTTTACTTTTGAACTTGTAGTTAGCCTAGACACCAATCAATTATGACATCACACAAACAAAAAAAATTTGACAGTTCATTTGTTAAGAAATTCCTCGATTTCCTTATTAGATCAGTCTGTTGAATTTTATTTAGAAAATTGTTAAAATACACTTATTTTAGTGAAAAAGCAACTACAGCATAGTATTTTCTGTGAATAAAGAGGTGAAACCCCTTAAAAAGAGTTGTTTTCGTGAAAACCGAGTACAAATATGGAAGATATATTTCATTGGTGCCGTGAGGGCAACTCGATCCAAGTGCGCCTTTGGCTGGAAGATACAGGCAATGACATGAATTTGGGGTAAGAAAACAATTATTTTAATTGTATAATTATCTTTTCGAAACTATTTTGTTTCATTGTATTATTGGCAAGCAGTCAAAACAATAGGCGATGAAAAGTCGTGAGTGACGTCATGCTATATTCTTTATTGCTTTGAAGATTTGTATAAACATTTGCATATGATACACTCGCACAACATAAATAAGAACAACAACAATAACAAACATAATTTCCAGTGGCAAATCTTAATTGCGACATGTATGTTTGAATGATTGAATGTAGCTTATGAAAATGATTCAAGAACAATTCGGTGAATGTTATAAAATATGTATATACATGTATATGTACATATATATATTTGTACTTATTTTTGAAATGAGCAAGATTAATTTACTATAAGAAGATGTGAAAGTTTAAAGCTTATAGCTAGATAAACTGTTTTGTAGTAATTTCACAAAACTTCTTTTATAAATAGGACTGATACTAAAAAAATATTTATATTTATTTGTTCTCCTCTAGAGACGATCACGGCTTCAGCCCGCTGCATTGGTGTGCCAAGGAAGGTCATACTAAGCTGGTAGAGACGCTGATACAACGAGGCGCACGTGTAAATGCCACCAATATGGGTGATGATATTCCCCTACATCTTGCCGCCGCACATGGACATCGTGATATTGTGCAACTAGTATGTGACGTAGAAATTAGCGCACTTAATAGTTGTTGGTTAATAATGAATTGAATAAAGCAACAATAGATTATATGGCTGATGTTGGCGCAGTGGTAGAACACTCGCCTGTAAAGTCAATATCCGTTGGTTCGATCCCTGCCATAAGAAGTCTGATGAGGAGATGTGGTGAACTCCGAAACAGCTGTCACTTCTACCATTTTTCTTTGTTGTATAACAAACAATCAATTCATACAAACAAACAACCAGTCCTCGTAGTTTACTTAATACTTATATCAAAAAAATAATATATATCATGACCGCAAAAACAAATTATAGATTTACCCTCTTCTTTTATACAGCTCATACGCGAGCGCTCTGACGTGAATGCCGTCAATGAACATGGTAATACTCCGCTGCACTATGCTTGCTTTTGGGGTTACGACATGATTTGCGAAGATCTCGTAAATGCAGGTGCTTTAGTTTCAATTGCCAACAAGGATAATGATACGCCATTGGATAAAGCCAAGCCAGGACTGGCAAAGCGTCTGCACGATTTAGCCGAGCGTAGTGGTCACGATATTAAGAAAATAAGCTTTAAGGAGCAAAGCTGGTTGGGCACTAAGACTCGTTCACGTGACGCTACTTTGTCGCGTTTTAAGGGTATCAATTTGGGTGAGCTAGACTTACATACAAAAATTGCTGTTACTCCATCAGGCGAGACATGGCGTGGTCGCTGGCAAAAGAACGATGTTATTGCAAAGGTCTGTACACATATTTCTGTCTTCTTCTTCTTTTGATATTGGATGTTTTCCATTTGCAGATACTAGCGGTACGTCATTGTACAGCACGCATATCGCGTGATTTTAATGAGGAATTTCCGAAATTGCGTATTTTTTCACATCCCAATATCCTGCCAATTATCGGCGCTTGCAATCAGCCACCAAATCTGATAACCATTAGTCAAGTGAGTGTGGTAATTTTTTTGAATGGTAAAATGAATATTTATTTTATATAAACTTTAGTTTATGACCCGGGGTTCTCTCTTTAATTTACTACATCGTGCCACTGGCATTGTAGTGGATACGGCGCAAGCCGTTCGCTGCGCTGTGGATATCGCACGAGGCATGGCGTATCTGCATTCTCTGGAACGCATAATACCCACCTATCATCTAAATAGTCATCATGTTATGGTAAGAAATTTAGTCTAACGGTATTATCATTTTTTTCAAATAACAATATCTTTTTCCATCAGATCGACGACGATTTGACAGCACGTATTAATATGGGCGACGCAAAATTCTCGTTTCAAGAGAAAGGGCGCATTTACCAACCAGCTTGGATGTCACCAGAAGCGCTGCAACGAAAACCGGCCGAAAGAAATTGGGAGGCGTGCGACATGTGGAGTTTTGCCATAATCTTATGGGAACTAACAACTCGAGAAGTGCCTTTTGCCGAATGGTCGCCAATGGAATGTGGCATGAAGATTGCATTGGAAGGTCTGCGTGTTAAAATACCGCCAGGCACTTCACCACACATGTCTAAGCTGATAACTATCTGCATGAATGAGGATGCAGGCAAGCGACCGAAATTCGATATGGTTATACCGATTTTAGATAAGATGAAACGTTAACGAGTGCAAGCAAAAGAAAAATGAGCTGTTACAACGTAAATGAGAACGTTAATTACGTCAAATAATGCCAACATTATTCTTTAAGTAGAGGAAGTGCCTAAAATCGTTGCAATTTCAAGTCAACGTGAACATTTTTTTACTCAAATTATAAGAATAACTAAATTAATAGCACAAAGTATAATTAATAATTTACCAGAATTTCTTTACAATAACTTTTATGTATACAATGCATATTTATAAAGCAATGTGTTTAGGCTAAGTTTTAATGTTGTACGTAAGTCACTTTTAATATTTAATGCCGTTCTGTTCACTAATTCTACTTACTACCCACCCATCTACTTTAGCCACATCATTCAGGTGTATTAGTTTTTTAATGTTTAATTATATGTTTACTAATCTCAAACTTAACTTTTAGGTATTTACATTCATAATCGGTGCTCTAACCACGCTCATACTACCGCAGTTGTATTTCGCTTTACTCAACTATTTCTTTTCAATGTGCGTGTTTCGTCTTTTGAATTTATTTCCAGAGCAAAAAAATGTCATATATATATATATTGAATATGTATTTTGTTATTGATGTTATATTGTATATTTTTGATATTTTTGTATTTAAATCGTATTTTGAATATTATGCAATTGCCGAAATAACAAATAAAAGAGTTAAATGTATTTCTTTTGATAAAAGTTTATTAGACGCCTGGTTTCATTTTCGGAAAATTGAAAGCTGCTGAACTTGAAAAGCCTTTCGTGAGGCTTTCGGCTGACAATAATACCTCGAACTAATCGAATTATTAGCCTTAGAAAGCAAAGAATTAGAACTTCTTTAAATATACCTTTCTTCTACTTTCCAAATGGTAAAAAAATCTATAGAAGGGGAGATGTGAGGCCCCCAATAACGCTGGGCCGCTTAGAATATAATAGTTGCAAACAATTCTTAAAATCATCGCCATATTTACATATGAGACTCTCTTAGTATTCTCATGGCAGTGGTCAGCTGGACGAATTTTGATACAGAGATGATTCCGTAAGAATATAGACAATGCGGCGAAAAGTTTTATGAATTTCATAAAGAAGAAATTTCTTCATTTTTTCCGAAAAAAAAAAATTATATGGAAAACAACATTCACATGGTAGAAACCAACCGACAAAGCAGAAGCAGAGACCACTGAAAACAGTAATATGCCGGTCACGTGTTTCCCTATCGGCAATTCAGTACATCGGACTCTGCAAATCTGTGCAATCTGTGCAGAAGCGCATTCTCCTCTGAAGCTGCATTTATATACATATGTATGTATTTATCTACTTTCCTGGCTCTCTCACTCTCGCTGCAGCAGCGGTGTTTGAACTCAAAAAGCTTTCTACCATCTGCCAGCTTGAAGTCAACTCTTCGACTCTCAGCTGTTGTTGCCGGAAGTGCCGAGCGAGCACAAACACACGAAGTTAATGCCTTGAGTATTGAAGACGCTGCAATGAGCACAACGGCCCTGACCTACTTAACAGTCGCAAAAGCTGTAACAGCCGAAGCAGCAACAACAAAACGCGGAAAAAATCATAAATTTATTGGGAGCAAATTCACTTTTTATTGCAACTAATTGCTGCTGACAGCTTCGTGTCCCTAAAAGTGTGAGAGGCGCACGAATGTGCGGTCCTGTGCTCGTGTTGTGTGCACTGGAAGTGAATTAGTAAAGAAAATGTAAGCTTAGCGAAACAATGACTAAATTAGGTACGATAAGCCAACCGGTGCTGCCCATAACAGGTCCTTATGAAGGAGAATTACTTAGATACTAAAATCAAGAAGAAGAGAGATTGAAAAGAAATCATTAAAGAAAATTAGTGTTTTTAATTATAAGTTTTTAAGTTCTTGGAAATTTATTTTTCTTTCTTTTTCCTCCATTGTAACAACCAATGTGCGATGTCTGAGAGTTTACATCCAATTGACATCCAACATGTCGTATAAGCGACGTCTTGAGAACACCGTGAAGCAAAACATATTACTCATACGCACCGGACTTCAACTCGGAAGAAATTTAGCACAGTTATACTCACACACATCACCGTTTTTTTTGTGGATCAATGCAATCGAAATAATTTATTTTTGTGCTGTTGGCCGATTCATTCCTTCCTTCCTTTAATTGTATACTTATTTTTAATTATTACAATTCTTACTCATTGAGTATTCTGCAAGAGAGAGGAAGAGAGAGAGGTGGAGAATAGCTCACACAATTCACCGCTCTGTTTATGTTTTTCAATTGCAGCGACGCTCACGTGTTGTCCTGCCGATGCACGGTCCGGTTGCAGCTGGAGCATTGCCGCGGCTGTTGTTACTATTTTTGCTTTTGTTGTTGTGCGCCAGTAACGTGCTTTCGTTTCTGCTGCAATAACTAACAAATTGCCTGAAAGCTAGCGCTGCGCATGTTTGCAACTGCCTTCCAACTAAACGCAAGCGGGTCGATAGAGTATCGAAAATGCAGCTGAAACGTGATTACCGCTATACAACTACACATACCGCTAACTTTATTGAGACTGCTTCTGCTTCCTTGTCGCCAGTCGCAGTCCAGCTGGCTGGTGTTAGTTGCTCTTCTTCTCGCTGCTACTGCAGCTGACTTGCCCATGCGGCAGCTTTTAGGTTTATTGGCACAGTACGAGTGCGGCACAGTAATGTGCAGCATGGACGGCCGAGCTGCGAGAGAGCGGGACTGAGAGCGCGAAGCGCACATAGAAGGTACGGTCAGCGGCTATTCCAGTTTCAGTTGGCGACACATCCGCATTGTGGTCAATAAAATTCAAACAAAATTTTTTCTCCGCCGCTTAACGGCGATATGCGTCGTCGCTCTGCCGAAGTTGTGGGCTTTCAAGTGAGAAATGTTCGCATTTTTCCTTTTTCGCCGAAATGAACTTTCCTGCATTTTTTGCATAGCTTTCAAAACGGTTGTTGTGGTGCTTCTAACACGTGATGGTGAGTGAGCAGGGCACCGCAGCCATAAGATTAAAGCGGATTAAAGTCGTTCGTAGCCGCGGCGTGTGGCGTATGGTGCTGTTAATGGTTATGGAAAATTTTGGATTTAAAATAATAAATAAATAAATATAATTGCTGCATTTATATATATATGTGTGTGTGTATGTGTGATAAATTATAATGGATTTTATCGATTTCTAAAGTGACTTGGAATTACTGTGCATATTTGAAGCGGCATATGAGGACCAAATTGCAGTAAATTATATACAATAATAGCAACAAAAACAATTACAACAACAGCAACAACGAAAGCACTGCAATTTCTGCATAAATCCAAAAGCTGCACTTTATCCTTTGGCAACAAAAACAACGTTAGTGTGTCATTACACATGGCGAGCAGCCTGCAGAGACCCCTCATAACCAACAACTCCGCTTGTAGGCTTTCTAGGGTTTGACGAGCAAATGTCGGTGCCGGAATGCCTGCCTGAAATGCAGAAAAAGCTCTGGCGGCATGCAGCCAAGTAAATGAGAACAACAAAAAAATAAAAACAATAATCAGCAACTAAAAGCCGATCCGAGCTAAGCAACCGACCGACCGGGTTTTCACAAGCCCAAAACACAAACATAGCCACACACGCGCACACAAATAAGAGTACTCGCCAACAAATGCAGCGCTTTGCAGTGACTTGACTAACTGTATATGTAGATGCATATTCGATATTGCCGCAAAGTGTTTGTGGGCGGGGAGTATTCGGTCGATTTGGATGGAAAATCCATTAGAAAGCCAATTCAAGTAAAAATACTTATTAAAGCTGCGAATATAATGTGAAAGTGGAGGTTCTACTCGTACTAAATAAGAAATAAGTAATTATATACAGAGGAAGTGTTGTGAAAATAAAAGGATTTATTTCCAAAGGCATGTGAATATTCTAAATTAAAAACAAAAATCTTAAAATGAAAAAATAAAAGTGAGTAATAAAGCGAAATAAAGTGTTTGCAGTGATCAATGTGATTTATAAATACTAAAAAAGTAAAAAAAAATCATGCTTAGAGCGAATAAAGCTGCTTGAGCATCATAACAGAATAATATTTAATAAAATATACTTAATGGAATTTAAATATAATTTTGCGTAATTGTGCGATTACCGATTTTCACATATACATACCTACATACAATACAACCATCGGTACAAAAAACAAAATTTTCTTAATCAAAAATTCCAACGCAATTTAAAAACAGAGCAAAAGAAAACAGTTATAAGCGTAAGAAAGAAGAATAATAAATTTAAGGAAGTGAGTTTTATAGCAAAAGGTTAATAGGAAAATAAAACTACTAAAATTAAAACGGTAATAAAAATCACAACCCGAAAATAAAACGGTTGCATAGAAAGAAAGATAAAAAGTTGAAAAAATTTTCAACCGTCTTTCAGTCCCTTTCTTCATCATATCCTCCGCGCTACGTGCATTCGGCAGCTGCTTAAATGTATTTTAGTATTTTTCCATATATAGGCCAGCCCCATCGAGGGCCGGCGACACATGGAGTTTCCAACCAAATCTAGTTTAAGCGTCACTGACACTAACAGGTAATTGAAAAATTGTTTAATAAATATCGTATTTTATATATTATACTTAATTTATTGCGAATCAAGATCATCGCGATGTAAATGCAGATGTTCAAGCCTACAGTACATCCCGAGCATTGATCATCGCATTCCCTCAGTCGCTTCACTTGGGCGACTGCAACCTCGAGTAGAGCCGAGATTTGTACGCTTCTCAGAGCAGCCGAATGGAAAGTAAGAAGCGGCGTCCACTCATCGTTAGTTTAACTTCCGTTGTATCCTGCATTAGTAAAAACACCCAAGACCCATAACATTAGAGAGTTCAATTGTATAGAAGATTCTTTTTTTGGAGTATAAGAGCGTTATAATCTTATTTAGTCCAATTTTTTGACGGGGCGAAGTAGTATTTGCTTCAGTCGACGTAAGTATCTTTCCGACATTACATTCCAGTGGAAGTATTCGACTTGGTATTGGAGGTTATTAAATTGTTGTTCCAGCGAGCAAAGAAAGGTGTGAAAAATAGCAGGGAAATTCATAAAGTACA